GTTCTAGATTGAAAGTTAAAGCATATGGCTACTCGCATAACTAGCAAAGATTCCATGAAAGTCCTAGAAAGAATCGAAGAAATGGAGTAAAAAACTTCGGAGGACTGTAAGGAATTCATGAACTTTCATCGCCTATGTGGATTCAACCCACATCACATCATCATGGAGCAACAACAAAGAATATCAGTGAATGGGGTGATGGATGAACATTAGAGCCTAATTAGCCTTTCAAACTAAATGGAGCATATATATTCTTGATTCAAAGTCATAAAAGAAAAATCACTTCATGGGAGGTAGCCCTTGGTTGACACTTCATGCGGTCTAAAAACTGGGTGCACGACTTAAACTGACGGCCTCATGTTGAGCCAAGTATAACTCAAGATGGCATTGCTAATATAGTGGTTGACCAAGGTCGTATTTCACGGATCTCAATATCCTAGGCTACTTCTCACTCGATTTTTATCTAGTCGATTGGGTTTTGATTTGTTTGCAGAAATGAGAAAGCAGGTACTCAAGGCATCACCCTCTCCCTAGTTCTTAGGCATGTCTTACAGAAGGATAGAATTGCCAATTTATGGGGAATCACTAATATGGGAGCTAGCTCAATGGTCATGGAACTAACTCCCCTCATAATATGATCCACTGACCCAATCTCACCTCAATCAAATTAAATTAGGGACACTCTATTCCCTTTCAATGGATTGCACCCATCTGTAGGGGATGGTTACCTTGACCACCAAATAATTCATCTATACAAACTATGTCGACCACTCAAATCCAAATTACATTCAATCAAAACATAATTAGGCAATCAAAGATAGAATATGGAGAAAAAAGTTTAAATAAACATAGATAGATGCATAAAAACACTTGGCAAATACATTCCATGCTTTTCCTTCTCTTATTCTCCTTTCTTCAGCTTCTCTTTCTAAACTCTCTCTACAAACCAGAAAATTCATCAAGTGTCTATGCTTTCTTGACAAAGGAGGAGGGGTCCTCTATTTATAGAATTCAGGAGCGAGGACAAGTTTGTGATTGAGGGCCAAGAGATCGCAGGTGTGAACTTCAAGGGGGAGGCCACGATCTTGAAATGCATCAATCATGCTCTGCTAGCTCAAGAGATCGCGTCATGGCTTCACGATCGCAATTCGGAATCCACGACCACAATCTTTATTGCAATCACAGATGAAGGAGGCTAGGATTCTACTATCGAAGCCTTTTGTCCATTCCTTGGTAGCTGCCTCTCCAAGTTCACATATAGACCCTCCTAGATCGTGGGCGTGATCTTTACTCCAGAGGCTGCGATCTTTTGCTTGCCACGCTGGCTCCTCTACTCGGTCGTGATCTCTGTCCTTTTGCTGTGATCTTCTTGTTTTTGCTCCACCTCCTACACTTGTGCCCCATTTTTTTGGCTAAAATGCAAGTATCGTTGAATGCACCCTAATACGACGTGAAATACTCCAAGGAACGGATTTGGGATGCAAATGACAATATGTTCGCCATGGATTTAGAAACATGAAAATACCTAGAACCAAAGCAGTCAAAATCAGGATTTTACCCAAAATTGAAAACTTGGGTAAATCAGAATCGAAAAATCAAATCATAAAATTATAGGATTTTAAGTTCCATACGAAAACTAACATATAATGATATTAATAGGGTAAATCATTAATAACACAAAGACACGTAATGACTCACTTCTACTGTCACTCTAGAAAATGGCCAAGTGAAACCACTTCCTAAAGCGTAGTATAGCGGGTTTGGGTTTTAATATCAACCCGGGTCCTAGATTTGATGACTACTCAGTGAATTCTTGTTATCTAGCAATGAAACTTTAATGCAAGTCTAAACTAACAAACTAACAAAGCAAGTAAACGGTTGTATTCAGGTTAAGAGAGGTCACCCGGATATGGTTCCCCCTAGACTGCAGTTAAGCCGGATTGTAATTACCAAGTTCAGTTTCTATGATAGTTATACTGCGGAAGGTTCTTAAACAGCCTGAAGTCTCGACTAAAGGTCTTCAGACCCTCTCAATCTGAGTCTCTAGTGGGCGACTACCTCCACCGGAGTAAACAGATTGATGCCTTAACAAACAAAACCTCCACTACCGAAGTGAATTCGGTACAGAATAGTGAGTTGGCTCCTCGACTAAAGTCACCAACTCCCTACCTTCAATCAAGGATGCTCTATTAACCTAGGCAGATATTCTCATTCTAGGTCAAAGCAGAAACAACAGGAATTTGATCAGGATTCAAGTCATTCAATCATTCAAACCTCAATTGAATATAATCAAATCATAGAATCAGTACTTGGGTTCATACAATCAAAGTCTAACATACAAATCTTGGGTTCTCCATACCCAGATGAATGGGAAAACTACTCCATGGAGAAAGAAGCAAAAGCAGAATCAGACGCGGAATTCATACTGTGAAGGATGGATTCCTGCTCCTAGACGTTGATCGGCACTTCTCCAAGCTCGAACTAGCCTCCAATGATGTTGAAGATCAATCTATGGCACTTGGAGACTCTTGTTCGTCACTTTCTCTCTCTAGGAATCGTTCTTTCTCTCAAAAACTCGAATCCCCCTCTGTTTGGCTGAAAATCTGCTTAAAAGGGCATCAGTGGCCAAAGCACGGCCGTGTAATGCCTCAGCCCGCCCGTGCTTTGGCTAGGGTTAATTACACTAGGAGAAACACGGTCGTGCTTTTGGGAGGACACGGCCGTGCTTTGGTGAAGCACGCCCGTGTTCTATCTCAGCCCTGCCCGTGTTTTGGCTTATGTTTGCCACACTCGAATTAGCTCTCGGCAGTAAAAGCACGGTCTCAGAACACGGTCGTGTAATGGTTTAGGTGTGCCCGTGTTTTGGCTCAGCTTCACCGAAATGACTTCCGAATGCCCGAAACTCGTGCTTAGCCTTCCCTTTTACACCTGGGACCTGAAACATGACAAAATAGCACAACCCGGCATAAAATAGGCAAAAAACACACGACTATGCCCCTCAAACGGATAAGAACTAGGGGCGCAAATATGTGCAATTACATAGTTATCACGTAACAATTAAAATTATAATTCTCAAGATTAGTGTTCAAAATTATCATTTTAATTGTTATTTAATGCGTAACTCAAAATAATTCACGAGGAAAGGATAGAGCTCATGAGGCTTAGCTCTTGTTTTTCATGTTGCATCTAGGTAGTTTAACTCAAAGTAGTACTTCGTCCCTGTTAATTTCAACATCGTTTTCTAATCATGATTTAAAACTAAGAATAAATAGAAATCCAATAGAATAATTAATGCTGATGGTTGGTAAAAATATAATTGTTAATAAATTAATTAGTTAATAATGAAGTTAATTCTTATGTGCATACAATATTAGGACAACTATTTTACCGATGTGTTCAACCGGGCGAAGGGAAAGGGATTGTCTGAGCCCTAATTTGATTTTTTTTTTCTTTTCAAATTTTTTTTAATAGAAAAATATATGAGAAGATCCCCATTATTGCCCTTTCTGCCGAAGTTGTTCCGCTTTTTATAAATTTGCTCAAACCGCCTATTTTGACGATTTTAACGAATTTAATCCTGATTTTAAAAGATTTTAAGGTCCATCGATTTTATAGTAAAATCAAGATTAAAATCCTTAAGTAAAATATTAAAATCCTACAATTTTACGATCAAAATCCTGATTTTGACTGCTTTGCCTAAAATATGGAGGCTAAATAACACCAATTTGGGTGTTATCGACCCATGTATGGCGTCAAACTTAATGACGTTTAAGAAAAGTGCTACCGTGAAGAAAACCCAAATTTCTCTTTTTAATTACGTTTCTTTAATTTCATTAGCTTCTAATTTGAAGTTACTCATTTGAGGATGCTTATTAGAAATTTTATCATTTGGATAGATTATACATTTTTAATTGAGAATTTTTTAGATATCTAATGAATTAGAGGATTTGATGGAAATATGGTATATGAAATTCACTTTTGTACATACCAGGTAAGTAAACTAATGTGAAAACGTGGTAACCAAAAAATGGTCTAACCTACAACAACGACCACCTGGCATGGCCGACTACCAGTTACAAACATCTATAAAAGGCCAATTGTTTTTGCCCTTCCTCATTTCTACCCATTATTTCACTTCCTTCTACTCATCAAACCCAAGGCGTCCTCTCAAAATTATTCAAAAGTTTTCAATCTTCCATTCACCCCATCCATTCCCAAAACTCAAAATTAGACCCTTGAAATTTGGACACTACCTACCATCCCCTCTTTATCAAAGCCTAACCAAAATTCTCAAGAAAAATTGACATCCCTTGAAGGCAATCATCGCCACCAACTAACCGCGACCAACTCCCCTCATTCTTTTCTTCAAGATTTTGTGCATTAATGTGAGTTTTCACCACTCCAATTAAGTATCCATGATCTTTATATGAATTTAGCGTGTTAAACAATGATTATTGAGCTTCAATTGAGGATTGCCTGATTATGTTAAGTCACTTGCAGTTTTTGGCTCTATTGAGCACAATTTGATGCTTTATGATTCATTGACGATAGCTAGTAGGTTTTGAATGTAATATCATGGATACTTAGTGCACTTTTAATGTCTTTTGATTTCGATAGATTGATGATTTTTTAGCAAATGTATTGTCAAAATTTCAAGAAATGAGCACCTTAATATTTGAAAGTTTCAAAGCATGATAATCTAGGGCCTAATTCTTGAACTTTTGATGGCTGATTGATTGATTTTTTGGATTGAATGCTATTAAATTTGTGTCAAATGTTTCAATCATTTAAATGCATGCCCCTATCATTGACAATGTGAAATATGTTGATTTAATGCATGCATGATTATAATAGATGGTGGTACCATCCATCACTTATTTTTTCCTTTTGATTATGTGCTTAATTGCTTTGATAGGATAATATGTTTCTACCATAGGTCAACCTATTATATGATTACTTATCTTATAAATCTTTCATCATGATTAGATTATAGAAGAAATCACGATTCAAAGTTCAAAGTGCAATTTACCTCCATATTCATTTGGCTTCCTGTTTTATGTTGTAGGAATTACAAAGATGTTTGGCAGAAAGATGAGATGTCGCAAGGGCGAGAGCAAGGATGATGGATCATCCTCTTCTAGCCAGTCACGATGGTCATTCGATCCACCACAAGTGGATCCGATGGAATTTGACATTCATAGGTATTCATATGCTTATCCTAAGAGGAATGAGCCACACAATGCAAGAAGGTGGGCACCCATTTTGAGTCTCATCAAGTGAGAACAGTGGAGAACATTAGGAGACTGACATTTTGGATGATATGGTCGTCCATTCAGATAAAGATCTCGAGATTTTGACTACCACTGGTGCAACTTAATCCATTACTACAATTTTTACATATCACACAAAGCAAAAAGGTTGAGAAGTGGGATCGATATCGAGTGGAGACTCAAGAAGAGCTGAATTTGGAGGAGTTTTACTAGTACTGAGGTTGAGGGTGCTAGACTACGCAAGATGCTTGGCAGTGGTGGACTATTGGAGCTCTTCTACATCAATGGAGATATTGTAGGCATACTGACGAGAGAGTTCATGGCACTCTGGAGGTCATTGGTAGGAAACTCAAGCCAGATTGGTATTACATACAAATTACCATGGAGGCACTTCATGGACAGCTATGATAGCTTCATGGGGAAGGTAGAGGTTCACTACATCATCTGACGAAGGGATCTCTCTCTAATGTTCACCTTAAAAGGAACAGCAAAAAGGGTCTCAAGCTTTATGTTTCACTCAAATTTGGTGCAAGATATTGAAGAATAGGCCATTTCTTGATAGTATATGCTAACCCACTAAGATTCGAAAATATTTGTTGAGGTTCATGAACTACATTGGACAAACCATTTTTCACCTAAGAGCAAGAGGCGAGAGAGGTAAGGAGGTGACTACAAGCGACATGATACTCTATCATGCACTTATCCATGATTGGTGGCTACATCCAGCATGGATAATGGTGGTCTACCTCGCCACCTAAGTAAGTGGTTAGGAGAGACCCTACAAAATAAGATATTAGCCTTGAAGCCATGTAAATTTTGTCACGATCAAATTTGGCACCTTTGTTGGAGATTCTCTGAATTGCTAGGAAAGGAACGAAGTAAATGTTCTATCTCCCTTCTTTTATTTATGATTTTGTTTGTGTTTTCTTTCATTATTGTTTCTTCTTCATTTTCTTATGTACTGTTAGTGTGCATTGTGATCTGGGGAATAACCGAAAAGGACTAAAACTGTCAACCCAGAGGCCGAATTGCTTTGAATTTTAGTGTCTAGGGCTCCTTTCTGTGAAGGATCTGTCGCTTGACAATTCTGTAGCACTGCTTAAGCTCTATTTTGTTCTTGATATGAACCATCCTAGGTCATAATCATGGATGAGTGGTACTCACCTTTCCAAAAACTCAACTCCTTTCATATTCAGGAGGGCAAGCAGGGTGAGGCAAAATCAAACCATGAGGCATGGTATCAATATAGTAAACTCATCGATGAATGCCCTGATCACTGTTTTGGGTCCATCCATCTTGCACACATGTTTTCACTTGGACTGATTCGAGATGCGCTTTGTCTTGTTAAAACTTTGTATGGACATAGTATTTGGGTTAACCCTCAAGATCAAGTCTTGAGAGTTTTGGCCATGTTATTGAACTATCTCAGCAAAAAGAGGCTGAAAAATCTCATCTAGTCTTATATGAAGCCAAGGCCTTACAAAAATGGATGGAATTGATGCAACAACAACTTCAGGAGACTAGAGCATTGATGCATAAGCCACCTCCAAGAAAATGCTAGCAGTTCCCAAGTGAACTACCACCTTCAGTAAAACCAGACTTGAATCCAATTCCTTACAACGGACCACCCCGTCATAGGGATGAGGAAATAAGGCAAAAGCATGCTCAAGTCTTAACTCCCATATAAGAGGTCTATCTTGATGTTCAAAGGCGCATACGTTGGAAGAACGCATTTCATGCATAACTTGTTGTTGCATAGCCAGCAAGTAAACAAGAGCAGTCGACCCATATGGAGCACATGAGCGCGCCAGAACCATAAGAGATCGGGCCTAATTTCCCCACATGCATGGAGATCAAAGTAGCTGACTGAGTTGATAATTACAATTTAGCTACCTCGTGGCAGCCCAGAACAACACTAGAGGCACCAATCAGCCCAGGGCAACCCTAAAATTGATCACAGAGTAAACCCCCAACTTCGAGGTTAATTGGGATGCAATGAACATAAAGGATTAGGAGAAAATCCCTATCCCTCCTCACACTAATCTTTCATAACATTTTATGGGCTCCACAAGGGCAGGAAGGGTACGTTTATGAGAAAACCCCTCCATCTGAGGAGACATAAAATAAAGAACACCTTATTCTTCGTCCGACGCATAGAATCATGGTATTGGCTGCCAATTTTACCTGGTCAAAGGAGAAAGGAAACTGATTAGCATAATCCCCTTAGAAGGTCTCCGAGGTACGTAAGGGATTCCTCTTTCTTCACATATCTAAAAGGGAAAATCTTTTCTCCAAAGAAAAGGAGAAGTGTGCTAAATCCTTGTCCCTAATGGCTTTTGACTTAATGGGATTCCAAGAAGTTCTTTTTTCTGGTATGTAATTCCGCGAGCTAGGAGCCCATCATCGGGGCAGAGCGAGTACCAAACAAGTGTTCTCCCTTCACCATCAGACCTGCCTCTTACTTTTTGTTAGCGGTGGAGATATGTGCCTCATTACAATGGAAACCCAACCATGACAAGTCTACTTTAAAGACGTTGCCGACACAAATAAAGTGTGCGGTAAAAGGCCAAGTGTGAGGCGTCATATCATTGCAAAATTTTTTTTTTTAAGAGATACCAGTTGCGTTTCGGTGTGGTATTCCTACAAGCTAATGTTGGTTCCTATCTGGCACAAATAAATCTTCCGACACCCCTTGAATTAATTAACCCTCCACACAATTGAGGAAGAAAGAGTTAGAAGGAACCCCTATGTTAGTGCTAGACGTGCATAAATTGCTCTTGCTTGATCAGGCTGCCAAGTGCGTACAAGGAAAAATAAACCTACTTAAGCCACAAAAGTGCTAAAGGCAAGCCATGCATCACAAGAAAAGAGTGAACACTTAAGAACTATCATGAAATAAGATTGTCATGAGGTATAGATGCACTTAAAGGCTTAATCAAGCTTCATATGCTTCACACCAAATCCTTATAAAGATTCGATTAGAGGAATAGGACTCAATCTTGAAAGAGACGAATATGTCATCCTTACGATGTATATTTCAAGCTACATCTCCATGGTCAAAGGCTTCTTACTGCGAGGTTCGACCTTGTAAGCTTCTTATTATCCACTACCTTAGATCGAACGCCATGTGTCATCTTAGAGGTCTAGTTAGTTATAAGTTGTTGAAATTAGGTTTGCTTGGGGACAAGCAAAGTTCAAGTACGGGGTTATTTGATGACACATGAAATATACAATTATAGACCTCCGTCTTATGATCAAAAGTGCATTAATTCCTATCTTTATTGCCACAATACCTTAGATTTTCTATGTGAATGCTCAATGTGTTTGCGACTGATTTTGTTATAGTGCTACGCTTTTGGTAGAGTTGAGGGCCTTTTAAGGTCAAAGTAGGCTAAAAGCCCACTTAGGAGCATAGAGGTACATCAAGGCTCAGCTGCTGAAGCAAGATTTGAAGAAGAAACTCAGGCCCAATTGTGGCTCCCAAAGTAGCGGCCCACAATTCAAACCAGTGTCGTGGGTGCCTTTGCATTAAGTAGCAATACTTCATCAGGAAGGCGTCCATAAGTTATCTTGAATTAGAAGCTTCATGAAAGGACTCTTCAGATTTGTTGGTTGACATGTCAAGTTCGAGTTTCTCTCCCCAAAAGCCCTTAGGCCAAGTCCAATGCAAAACCCCAAATTTGGGGGCCTTGAACCCCAAATTTGAGGATTGAACCCCATTTTCCCTTATTTTGCTCCAATGCAACAAACTCCATATTTGGGGTTCTTAATATTTCCAGTTTTTCCATTTACTTAAAAATGTACTTATCATAGCCTTAATATAATTTATTCATCTTAATTTTTGTATAGTTCGTCGTCATTTTTTAATACAAATTTTTCGATATAATTTTGTTAAATTTCGAGTCCGAATTTTTTTGACAAAAAATTATGTACCTAATTTGGGTTTACACACAACACTTGAAAATGATTGATATAATTAATCCCTAACTAATCCCCGAATTAAACTCTCAATTAACCTCTAAAATCTTAAAAAGAAAAAGAAAAGCCACGTGGCGAGCTTTGGTGAGCCTCTATATTTGGGGGATCCCCCATTTCCACCTCCAAATTTGGGGTTCCATATGCAGGATCCTCCATTTTTGGAGGCCCAAACCTCCCCATTGGACCATCTCCTCCTTCATTTTTGCAGATTCCCCCATAAAATGGGGTACCCATTGGACTCAGCCTTATCTAGGACCTATAAATGTGTCTAGGGCTTAGAACTTGGTAGCCAATAAAGGAGGCAGTTAGACGGTCCTTACTCTGCCGACACGGTAACTCTGCATACTTAAAGCGACATCGGTTATGAGAGCAGAATTGATTGTAGAATCTGCTCCCTACGGCCTATTTCTATGTTGTCTCTGTTTATTCTTATGTTGTTCTGGGGTCTTCGTTTCAACCGATCAATCCCCAACAACCCATCCCTATGGTCGACTAGTTCCCTTAGTTGCATAGGTGTGCGACCCTAAATGTTCTAGATATGTAAAACTCAATGTTTATTATTCAATACGATTGTTTTCATCAGCCCACTATTTACGTTTCACCTCAATGGTGGCTTCCATTTGATCCCCAGTTTTTCTAGCTTTCTTCTTATTGATCAATCTAATCACAAGTTGAATTCCTTCACAGACCCTTTGGTACCAAATGAATCGAGAATTCATTTCATTGTAAAATGAATTACCATGTAGAATTCATTGTCAAATGAAATCCTATGTTTGGTATGTTATATTCAAATCTTTAGAAATAAAATGAAGTGTCGTGTAGAATTCATTTGACAATGAATTCTTGTGTTTGGTATGTCATATATGTATAAGTAATTTAGTTAATAAAAGAGGATAATCATGTCATTCTATTATAATTAGTAAATATTTGTGGAATTCATTTGAAAATTTCATATCAATTCCTCGGAATTGCTATAACTAGTTCCAATTCCGCAGAATTCAAAATTTAGAATTGAAAATAAATTCTTTTTAATACCAAACATAAAAATATTTCATTTTAAAATGAATTCCTCAAACTTATAGAATTCATTTATACCAAACGGTATGTTAGCTAGAATTCAAACCCCTTGTTACAGGTTGTAGAACTGAAATCACATGAGCTTCCTTCCTTACAAGCTAACAGCTATAGAAAGCTTTGATCCAATACACACACTCAAGAAATATCAAAGCACTTCACTGTTCACTCTTTGTTGATAATCATAGAGTTTTTGTAGCCTTTGATTTCCACCGCGGTTCTTAGTTTCCTTCTTTTCTTTTCTTCGATTTTTTTTTTATGTCTTTAGGGTCTGTAATTACTAGTTTTTTAATGTTTTTTATGGTTAATAAAAAATTGCATTGAAGCCCAGGGAGTCGCAACTCGCAAACTCTCTCTCAAAAGTGACAACTATGCTTATACAATCATCAATCGAACAACAAAACCAAAAAGACATGTATAGCTTATATTCTATGACTTAAATCTTTTAAGAGTCTCAATTGGAAGGGTATACTGCTACTGGAAAATATGAGAAACTCAGACAATATCATCTACGAGACTTGATTAGAAGAGGCAACTCGTGAACTTCCATACAACCTAGAGTTCCTTTCCCTCCAAATATGGTTGATTCCCATTATCCATAGAAGTCTGCCAATATCAGCCTTATCACTCAACATCCCACACTCTGTTCAGCCCACTGCAAGTGGGAACTCCAATATGCCAACTCAGGGAACACACAAACATCCTGCAAAATTAACTTGAAAACTTCTTGCCCAAACGAGCAGTCTCCAAACAGGTGAGCCATGCTTTCAACTCCACATGGTCACATGACACAACAAGGATTACAGGTTATTCCCCAGCCCGCCAGCTTATCCTTAGTTCTGATCCTTCCAAGTATAATCAACCACAAAATCACGTTGTGTTTAGGATAAATAGGCTTATCCCACACAAGGTGATGCCATGAAACAATAGGGGAGGGTTCTCTAATGGATGAACAAACAATCTTAACAGAATACTTAGCAAACAGCTTACCATCCCAAGTCAGTGTGTCCTCTGAACCAGTGATATGAGACTGAGCTTTACTTCTACACTTCATAATTTTCCTCCAAACTCATGTACTTACAGTGCTAGTCGAAAGGAGCCATAAACTCCTTCATTTAATTCTATATCGATTCATCCACGCCACCCACAAAGACCCAGCTTCAGCCAACAGATTCCACAAATGACGAATCACACAAGCCTTGTTCCACTTTTTAAAGTCCTTTATGCCTAAACCTCCTTCTTGTCTCGGGAGAGCAATCTTCGACCACGCTACCAATGCTTTCTTCCTCTTACCACCATCGACACCCCACAAGAACTTATTACAAGCATCCCCAATCATCTTTAATACCTTCATTTGGAGGAGAAAAACTGACATCCAATACTGAAAACACTAGTGATAACAGATTCAATCAACTAGAGCTTCCCCGCATAACTCAAGGTCCTAGCTTGCCCGCTTGTGATCCGTTTTATGATATTTTCAACTAAACATTGGCAATCAACAATAGTCAGCTTACCTAAAAGTAGTGGCATTCCCAAATACTTTACAGGTAGCTCCTCAAGAGGGAATCCAGACTGAATAGAGAGAGCTTGTGTTTCCTCTTGCAATAAACCAGCACAAAATAGTTGGCACTTCTACAGATTACACTTGAGTCCTAAAACTATATAAAACTGATCTAGCACTTTCCTTACACCCATCATTGCTTGAGGAGAACCATTAGTGAAAACTAAGAGATCGTCTGCAAAACAAAGGTGGGGGATCTCCTAGCTTTTACACCTAGGATGATATGGTATTTCTTTTGATTCAACAACCCCAGCTAATAGACAGGAAAAAACTTCCATAGAAATTGTAAAGAGGTATGGGGATAAAGGATCCCCTGCCTCAAACCCTTGGCTGCTGGAAAATAGCCACACAATCCTCCATTGAATGACACACTAAGCATAGAAGATGTCACACAATCCATGATCAAATCCACAAAACTAGGAGGCAAACACATAGCACACATACCTTAAATAGGAATCTCCAATCTACTAAATCAAAGGCCTTCATTAGATCGATTTTAATCGCACATCTAGGAGATAATCTGCCCTTATGATAGTCCTTAACTAATTCAGTCGCCATAAGTATGTTATCACTAATTAACCTACCCCTAATGAAAGCATATTAACTCCTTCCAATAAGTTTAGGTAGAACCAGTGACAATCGATTAGCAAACAGTTAGAAATATCTTTATAGATCACGTTACAGCAGGATATAGGGCAAAAATCCTTTATCCTCTCAACAACTGGAAGCTTTGGGATAAGAGAGATCACTGTAGAATTCACCTGCTTAGGCATGACACCAGTGCTGAAGAAATCAAGAACAATATCTTCGACATCAAGCCCTACAACCTCCCAAACGAACTTGAAAAACTCAGCTACATGACCATCAGGTCCAGGGGCCTTATCATTCCCCATACTGAAAAAAAACTTTCTTGATCTCTTCTCTAGTGACAGATACATAAACCAAAGCTTTCCCTCCATAGTTAATTTGTTTCTCATCAACTCATCAAAATAACTAGTAGAAGTAACCTGAACAGTTGGATCTGCAGCCCCCAGAAGTCCTTTATAGAAGTCAACAACTACTTAGCTCATCTCCTTTACTTCAGTTACTACTTCACCAGTATCAGAGATCAGCTTTTGGATAATTCGCCTATGATTTCGAGCTTTGACCATACCATGATAGAATCATGTATTCGCATCTCCCTTTGTAATCCATTGTATCTAGACTTCTGCCTATCGAAAGCCTCCTCAACACTTTGCAACTCCTTACATAATTGCTCCTGCAACAAGACAGCTTGGGAGTGAGCTTTAGAAGGATCGGAAAGGATATTCCTCCGCAACCCCTCTACCTTCTCTTCAGCTTCCCTTGTTCGAACAGAAATTTCAGAATAAGAAATTCTATTCAGCCCTCTCAGCTTCACCTTCAACTCCCTCAAATTCTTATACAATACAAAATAAAGAAGACCAGTTGCCAAAATATGACAATCCTCTTTCAGAAGATCATAATAGCGAGGATTCTATCTCAAAAACAGGAAAAACTTGAAAAGCTTTGGAAAAGATGCTACTACTAGATTTGTCTGCACTAAAACACAGGAATGATCTGACACTCCTGGGGCAATGGTCTGCATCAAAATGTGGGAGAACTTATCCAGCCATGCCTCAGAGACTAAAACATGGTCAATTCTACGAGCAATAGGATTTTAAGATTGTTTATTCCACCAAGTGAACCATGAACCTGTCACCTTGTGATCCACCAACTTACTATCCAAAATCCACTGACAAAAGTCCAACATACTTTGATTCAAACTAGGGTTATTAGAGGCTTCATTACTATCAATGATAGCATTGAAATTCCTAATATAAATTTATGGCTCAGCTCCAATACCCCCCCCCCCAACTTGTCATACAAGACTGCCCTCTCTGTCGTTTATTGGGATTATAGACAGTAGTGACCAGACATGATTCACTCCTGGAAACAACTCGAACACTAATAAAATGTTCACCTATATCTACCTCACTAACTTGCAGTGAAGGCTTCTAGAACAACCATACCCTTTTAGACAGAGAATACTTATAACTATTCATATGTGACCAACTACTAAACTACTATCTAGTATATCTGTAGAATTCACATCCAACACTCTTGTTTCCAAAATAGCAAACATCTCTACTTGTAATCTAGCTACTTGTTTATTTACGTATCTATGCTTCTCGAGACCATTAAACCCCCTGAGATTCCAACACAAAACCCTCATTTACCTCTCTTCTTGTTCATCCCACCTTTCATGGGAGAAGCAGGAATCACCAGCTCAATACTCTTAGGATACAAAGGCACTCGAGACTAGACAGCTGAAACCAGAATCCTTACACTACTACCTTGATCCCTCCCTTCAGAAATGTGCTTACCCTTATTTACAACCGATTGAAAACAATCTGCATCTAGTAGATCATTCCTTAATGAAGTCCAAGAACTAGCAGCCGCCACCCCCAACCCCCCACCCCCCCCCCCCCCCCCACCCCAACTGAGCTAGCCTGAACTTCTGAACTAGTTTGAGCCTCTGTTGTTGCTTCCAGAAATCCAGCTTCACCACCAGATAAAGAAGGACTAACCAAATCAGCTACTGCTTTACCCTTATCAACTCTAGCCACTCAATCAAACACTACCAACTGTTCCTGTTGTTTTGTACCACACTCCAAACCAGCATCCATCTCATGATCAAAATCCGCACACTGTTCACAACGAGCTCGTATGGTAAAGTAATGAACGAACAAATTCAATCTCTCCTCACCTTCCGGATGAATATGAATCCCAATTGGTAAAAGAGAATCTGCTGCCATTTCAATGCATGATTTTGCTATACCCATATGAGCAAAATGTCTTAGCTATGTAGGGAAAGCAGAGTGGTTATATCTTTTTTGTTCAGTCTAACATAGTTTTGGGTGGTTGTCTTCCTTTTTCCCAAAACAGTTCTAAAGGAAACATAAATATTATGTAGTAACTTTATTTGGTGGTGGGAACTAGCAGCAAATTGAGAGCTAGTGTGGCTTTGCCTTATCTTACCCATCCAAAGATTGAAGGTTGGATTCGGTCAGGGATCTATACTCCTGGAAACTTGCTTCTTCTACCAGACATATTTTGGAGGTTTTAAAGGTTGTAGGGTCCATCTGGATGGCTTGGATGAGATGTATAAGCTCAAGGGGCTTCAGTTATCGCAGATTACAGGTACATTTGGTTCCTGGAACTAGAAGAAACTTCTGAAGTTGAGGGTGTTGGAAATAAAAAATTATTTATTTCCTTTGTGAAACTTGGTGGGCTTGATTTAGTGAGAGGAATGGGGAGCTCGTTATTTTGAGCTGGTAACAAATAGAAAGGGTTTTTTTTTTGTTTTGTTTTTAGGACAAAGGAATTGGCAGAGGAATTTTGTTTTAAAGGCTTTCTTGGCTCTGCTACACATCCATTACATGATCCAAAGCCTATTTATAGGCTCGCTATCACTAAAAAATCTGCCCATATTTATGAAGGCAGTTGAGAACTGCCTATGTCTTGTGGTGCTGATTTTTTTTTTTTTTAAATCACAACTAACAACTAACCAAGCTTCCACACAATTCCACACATACCACGTTCTAGCAATTTCTGATTTTTTTGTTGTCTAGATATTTTTCTTAGATATCATTAATTAAACTTTATTTTTTAATTTCAACACTCCCCCTTAAAGTTTAATTCGTCGTAACTCCGAGTAGCGTCCTCAGTTTGACGAACACGTCTTGCTTGAGCGGCTTCGTGAAAATATCTGCAATCTGGTCTTCAGTCTTTACATACTTCAACGTCACTTCTTTCTGCTCCACGCATTCTCTCAGAAAGTGATATCTTGTATCAATGTGTTTACTGCGATCATGAAACACTGGGTTCTTTGCTAGTGCCAGGGCAGACTTGTTATCCACAAATATCTCAGTTGATTCTTCTTGTGTCATATTCAACTCTTTCAGTAACTTTCTCAGCCATATTGCATGACACGCACACGATGTCGCAGCAACATACTCAGCTTCACAAGTAGACAGTGTCACTATAGCTTGCTTCTTTGAACTCCATGTGAAAGCTGTATCTCCCAGAAAAAATACAAATCTTGTAGTGCTCTTGCGATCATCGACGTCTCCTGCCCAATCACTGTCGCAGTATCCAACCAATTTGAAATTTTCTGACTTAGTATAAAGAAGACCATGATCAATTGTACCTTTGATGTAGCATAATATCCTCTTGGCAGCATTCCAGTGTGACATAGTAGGTGCCTCCATGTATCTGCTGACTAATCCAACTGCGTAGAGAATATCTGTCCTAGTACAAGTCAGGTATCTCAGACTTCCCACCAGGCTTCTAAACTCCGTTGAGTTTACCTTCTCTCCTTTGTTATCCTTTGATAGTTTTAGTCCACACTCAGCTGGTGTACTCACAGGATTACAGCTCTCCATCTTAAACTTCTTCAGGACCTCCTTGGCGAAACCACCCAGTGAGATGAAAATTCCTTCCTCTTTTTGACTTACTTCAATTCCAAGATAGTATGACATTAGTCCGATGTCTGGCATCTCGAACTCACGAACCATCGTCTTCTTGAACTCTTCAAACATTTGAGGATCGTTGCCTGTAAAGACGAGATCATCTACATATAGGCAAACCATCAATATTGCTCCCCCTTGCACCTTGCAGTATAGTGCATGCTCATGTAGGCATTTGCTGAATCCATTCTGCTGAAAATACTTGTCAATCCTGCTATTCCAAGCTCTAGGTGCTTGTTTCAGACCATACAATGCTTTCTTCAGCTTCAACACCTTATCTTCTTGACCTTCAACGATATATCCAGGGGGTTGCTCCACATAGATATCTTCCTCGAGATATCCATTGAGAAAAGCTGACTTCACATCCATTTGATGTATCTTCCATCCATTTTGAGCAGCGAGAGATATCACCATCCTGATACTCTCCATTCTCGCTACAGGAGCAAAAACTTCATTATAGTCAATGCCTGGTCTCTGACTATATCCTTTCACCACCAATCTTGCTTTGTGTCTGACGACTTCTCCTTTAGCATTTTTCTTGGCCTTGAATACCCACTTCACACCGATTGGCTTCTGGTTCTTAGGAAGTGACACAAGCTCCCAAGTCTTGTTCTTCTCAATTGCTCCAATTTCTTCATCCATAGCTCTCTTCCATTTTTCATCCTTCATGGCTTCTTCGACATCAACTGGTTCACTATCAATGAAATGAAAGTAGAGTGTCAATTCATCACCTTCAATGGTTGTCGTTTCCTCATAAATTTCTTCAAGTCTCCTATACTTCTGTGGCCTTTCTCGGGGACTTTCACTAGATTCTCCTTCTGGGCTGGCAGGCTCTCTGTGACTGGGTGGACTTGTCACAGGTGTAGCTGTATCTGGTTCATCATCACTTTCATCCATAGTGAATGGGTAAAAAGTGTAATTCTTCTTTGCTTCAGCAGTCCAATCCCATGTTGCTTCTTCATCAACTACCACATCTCTGCTGATGATCAACTTCTCTTCCACGGGATCAAACATCTTATAACCTTTTGAGTGTTCTGAGTATCCCAGGAATATGTACTTCTTGCTTTTGTCATCCAACTTCTTCCTTTCTTGATCCGGTACGTGCACATATCCGACACTTCCGAAGACTCGGAGGTGAGAGATTGTGGGTTTCCTTCCGCTCCATGCTTCTTGGGGTGTTTGATTCCAAACACTCTTTGTTGGTGACCTGTTCAGTAGGTAGACTGCACAATCAACAGCTTCAGCCCATAGCTCCTTTGGCAGGTTCTTACTCTTCATCATGCTTCTCGCCATGTTGAGGACAGTTCTATTCTTCCTCTCAACGACTCCATTCTGCTGTGGGGATCTTGGGACTGTGAGAAACCTGCGAATTCCTTGATATTCACAGAACCTTCTGAACTTCTTCAGCATAAATTCTCCACCTCTATCTGATCTCATTGCTTTGATGTAGCGGCCACTTTCATTCTCTAAGAGCATCTTGAATTTCTTGAAAGCTTCAAATGTGTTTGACTTCTGCTTCAAGAAGTAAACCCATGTCTTTCTACTGTAATCATCAATGAACAGTAGGAAGTATTTGTTCTTTCCGAACGATGTTGGGGTGATCGGTCCACAGAGATCTGCATGGACAAGCTCAAGTGGTGCTTTAGCTCGTAACAGGGACTCCTTCGGGAAACTTGCCCTGAATTGCTTCCCAACTAAGCATCCTTCACACAATTGGTCTGGATGATTGATCACTGGCAGACCATGCACCATATTCTTCTGACCGAGCAACTTCAGGCCTCCAAAATTTAGATGGCCATACCTCAGATGCCATAGCCATGTAGTGTCTTTCACACATGCTTTCAAACACTTCGCAATTTCTGTCTGAATGTTCAGTGTGAACATTCTGTTTTTCGACATTGGGACTCTGGCCAACAACTGCCTCTTCTCATTTAACAGCTCCAATTGACGATTCACCATATGGACTTCATAATTCTTCTCCATCAGCTGACCCAAACTCAGGATGTTACTAGTCATGTCCGGGACATAGTACACATCACTGATAGATTGTTGTGAGCCATTCTTGAGCCGGATGAGTATAGTTCCTCTGCCTTTGATAGGAACCTTCGAGGAATCTCCAAATACGACATTTCCTTTCACTGATTCATCCATATCCATGAACATGTTTCTTTTTCCACACATGTGGTTGCTTGCTGCATTATCCAGATACCACATGTTATCTCTCGGTTTTTCATCTCCTTGATGTGACAGCATCAATGTGCCTTTGACTTCTTCTTGCACGTTGTTTGCTGTCTCCTCCACTTCTTTAGGCGGACTCCAACATTCTGATGCATAATGCCCATACTTCGAGCAATTATGGCACTGAACGTTGGATTTATCACGACCTTCATTTGATCTCCAACTTCCTCTTCCACGGCCACGACCACGACCTCTGCCTCTGGTGGACGTTTCATAATTGTTCGTGGTGAAATTTCCTCCGTCTCTGCTTTGATATGCTCCTAGGGCTCTTCCTCTTCCTCTGCCTCTGTAGTTGCCTCTGCCTCGACCTCTGTATTGAACTCCTCCTCGTGCGCCTTCTTTCTCCTCAGTGGTAGCTTTTGTAGCTAACACTTGTTCTGACGATTCTTCATTTCTTTTATTTAGCCTTTCTTCACGTGCTTGCAATGAGCCGATGACTTCATCCACTGTCATTTTTGACACGTCCTTAGCTTCCTCCATGGCCACCACCACATAATCGAACTTTGGTAATAATGACCGTAGAATTTTCTCCACCACTTTGGTCTCTTCAATTTTCTCCCCGTACTGCTTCAGTTTGTTGACGACTGACTTCACACGGGCGGTGTAATCTGAAACAGATTCACCCTCCTTCATTTTAATGGCTTCAAAATCTCCCCTTAATGTCTGAAGTCGAACCTTCTTTACTGGTTCCACGCCTTGCATTTCCTTTTGCAAAATCTCCCATGCTTCCTTTGCTGTGGTAGCATCTGCTATTTGATCGAACATCGATTCATCAAGACACTGATGAATGAGAGTGAGAGCTTTTTGATCACTCTTTCGATTCTTTCTCAAAACCTCCTTTTCAGCAGGAGATAACCGAGAATCCTCTATGGGAATCTCGTAACCTTTCTCAACAATATCCCAAGCATCTTGGGATCCCAGCAAGGCTTTCATACGAATGCACCAATTTTTATAATTGGTTTTGGTAAGGTGGGGGAATTGAATGGGGAAAGTGGATTTTTCGGCCATGGAACAATCGTGATAACAAAAACACGAGAAATTCTTTTCTGATGTGGAAGTTCAGACTACGCTGCAACCACAGAGCATACTCGGAAATAACTCGGGCTCTGATACCACTTTGTTGGAAATAAAAAAATTATTTATTTCCTTTGTGAAACTTGGTGGGCTTGATTTAGTGAGAGGAATGGGGAGCTCGTTATTTTGAGCTGGTAACAAATAGAAAGGGTTTTTTTTTGTTTCTAGGACAAAGGAATTGGCAGAGGAATTTTGTTTTAAAGGCTTTCTTGGCTCTGCTACACATCCATTACATGATCCAAAGCCTATTTATAGGCTCGCTATCACTAAAAAATCTGCCCATTATTATGAAGGCAGTTGAGAACTGCCTATATAAATGTGGTGCTGATTTTTTTTTTTTTTTAAATCACAACTAACAACTAACCAAGCTTCCACACAATTCCACACATACCACGTTCTAGCAATTTCTGATTTTTTTGTTGTCTAGATATTTTGCTTAGATATCATTAATTAAACTTTATTTTTTAATTTCAACAGAGGGATCGTGTGCAACATCACTTTACAGTGAGCGAGGATTCAGTATTTTGGGATGGGGTACCGATGGATAAATTCTCTATTCAAAGAGTGTGGGAGACCTTCAGACCTAAGGTTTCGAAGGTAAGTTTGGTCATCACTGCTCAGGAAAAGTATTGGTAACCCAAAAAATTATTTTCTGGTTTGATTGAGTATAAGAGAGAAGATCTCCACCAGCGACAAAATGCTTGCTTGGGCGTACAATGGACATGTTCATTGTCTTCAATCATCAACTAGAAACACTTTACCATCTTTTTGTTGAATGTTATACTATAAGTGAGATGTTTAAGACGTTGCTGGGCAGAGTATTCAGACATGTTCCAAGGGTCCTATGGAAGCAAGAACTAGCGTGGGCTGTTGCTGCTTTCAAAGGCTCTTCTGACATTGTAGAAGCGAGAAAGTTGATCTGGTGTTCTTCGCTAAGTCATATGTGACGTGAGCGTTGCACAAGAGTAGTCGGTTCTGTTGATAGAGTTTGAAGACCATTGTCAACAGCGGCGGATCCAGGACATAGTAGAGCACTGGGCCGCATATCATTAGAAATTAGATACTGTAAAAAAATCATATTTTTTTTACAATATAAATTGTACACGTCGATCTTTTAATATAGTGAATCATCAATAATGGATTATACATACATACATACATACATACCAAGAGCACTTTTACTATGCTATAAAGTATTGGTGCTTTAATGTACAAAATGTAAAGTTGTATCATTACATTAAATATATAAGTTTAGGTTGTACCATAAAGGAATTGTACATTTATGTTATGGTACAACTTGAAGAGCATATGTACAACCTGAAATTGTACCATAACGTTAAAGGTACAATCTGAAATTTTACTGGACCGAATGACTAAAATCGATAAACTTTTTAAGGGTTATACTAGTTTCGGATTCAGAGCAGGGTTGGGTCGTGGCCCGGGGTGACCACCCCTTGGATCCGCCACTGATTGTCAAACCGATCTTAAATGTGTTACTTCTCAGTCAGGCAGAGAACCAGTTTTGGGATATCTGATTTGGTTCCTTTTGTTGGCTATAAGAGTAACTTTGTATATAGTATAGGAAATACCTAATTGGCAAGGTGTGTTGCCCGTAACAAATTTTTGATGATATAACATAACCAATTTCAGAGTCTAATGGCATAGCATTACTGGAAAATTTTCAAAACCTAAGTAACAAATGACGATTCTATAATCTGTATATTGATTGGTGTTATTAGCCCTAACATTTCATCTGTGTACAACGACCATGGGATAGGCAAGTCTTGAATGCATGAAGTAGTTGTAGCAACTTTCTTACTACAATAGTTGATAAGTGGTAATTTGTTACTGACAATGAGATGTAATTAGATACATAGATATGGATAAATGACAAAGTTTGAAATGGAACAAAACATGATAAGTATCGCTTGACAATGATCTGTATATCCAGACAGAAGACAGCAGGACCAACTAACACGGATATAGCATATGGCAAGCATAACGGTGCCTTTCCTGGCCCAGTTTGCAATTTTAATTTCTGTCGCAATATTTTTGCTTGGAAAATCATCGACCACATTCACAAGATTTATGTAAACAATAATACTGCTCTGTGCACTCACAAATCAATATTCCTTTCCCTTTCTCTGCTTTGTCAACGTCTCGATTGGTTTGGTGCGTCCATTCTCCCGTCTTTGCTGTGAGACTATATATTAGTTAACATTTGTGCTGTCAAGGTGGGGACCGGACCACACACACAAAGGACCACTTAGTTTATGTGGCGACCATCGATTCCCCGCAAGGTTTTGCCAAAATGGGTTTCCAAGAAAAAAATTTGATTGTGTAGCCTACAATAATTAGGGGTGGCTATACGGTCCGGTCCGGTTAAATTGGACCAAATTGATCTGGTCCTAATCCGGTTTTTTCGAGATATAAGGATCAAAAATTAGATTGGATACAGTCCGGTCTTGATCCGGTCCGGTCTTGACCCGGTTCGGTCCCAATTTTATCTTGATTTTAGGTGTTGGGGGTTTCTTATTCGGTCTTTATCCGGTTTTTTACCTCAAATCTAAGCCCGAATATGAGATTGCATTGTTTGCTATCCGGTCCCAGTTTGGTCCCGGTCCGAGTTATACGGTCCGGTTTCGGATAAAATCAAACAGTCCGGGACCAAATAGCCAGCCCTAACAATAATGCTGTGTTGATACCGTCAAAAATATAATCTTATAATTTTCCATTACATAATTTGCTTACTACACTGAGGCAAGCTGGATCAAGAGGTATTTATGACATCGTAAGAAGTTTGTTAAGATGATACGACAAGATGGTGATCCTTGGCTTGGAAGATCCAATTGATACTTGTCGGAAATACAAAAGTACGTAGAATCCGGTGTAGAGTGGATGGTAGGAAGACAATCGAATCACGGTAATGAAGCACGGTTTTCATAAGTTTGGATCGGTCCGGACTAGATAGTTGCACTTTCGAACCAGATGGTCCGAGCCAAATGCCTTGGTAAAATGGCCACTACGTTTGTCAATTGCGGGCCAAGTATTTGGTTCCCCCACCACGCTAAGGACGAAGGGGATGATGGGCTAATTCGATGGCTTAATTAAGAAGGAAGGAAATGGAGCCAAATCCAAAACTGATCAAGGCCACATAACTGGACAGGAATTTCCATAAGGCCTTAAAATTGAGCCCAAATTAAAGCAAGCCACTGCTGTGGCCCACGAAATGAAATAAAGGAAAGACAAGTAGCAGGTTGCTTCTTCTAAAAACCTCCGACGTAGGGGAACGGAAAAAGGCTCAAAGAAGGTCAAAAGCGAGAGAAACATGGATCACCAAAATCAAAGCGACCTTCTGGTCAGTTAGAATAGAGGAGGACTATGTTTCTGTTGTGGGATTGATTTTTAGAGGAAAGGAAGGTATGTAACACAATTGTTTACCATATAAAATCAAATAGTATCACATCGATTAATTAATACAGATTGAATGAATTTATAAATCCAGCTCAACATTAATAATATTGGGCTAAAGTGGACAACCTCCATCTCCCATACACAGGTAGCCGACCAATCTCGCTGGCCTCCTCCAACTTGGTATGAAATACAACTCTCAAAAGACTAAGTCTGGGCCAAGACATGAAATTTGGCTAAGTGTGGAACCAATAGGGTACCAAGCTGGCAAGGCAGGTCTGGTACCAGCACAAGAAAATTTTGCTAGTATAGAGCAAAGAGGTGGTACCAAACTGGCAAGGCATGTCTGATACCAAAACATGAATTTGATAAGTATGGAGCAAACAGGCTACTAAATTGGCAAGGGTAAGTATGGAGCCAACGTGGTACCAAGCCGACTATGTAGATTTGGTAGCAAGATATGAAATTTGACTAAGTTTGGATACCAATCCGGCAAGGAATTTGGTGGACAAGCAATAGGGTACCAATCTGTGTACTAACTAAGAGAGTCATACAAAAACTATGTGTGGATATCAAGCCTACAAGACATGTTTGGTATTAAGTTACCAATCTCCCAAAATCTAACTATAGAGATCGAAATGCAGAGTACTAACCCAATGAGGAGGTGACAAGGTGGCCACCCGACTGGGTACCAAGCTTCCATGGACCATCCTCTATTCTCAAGACTAAGTAAGAAATCTTAGAGGTGGTGGCTGGTCGATCGCAATATCGGGCTAAAGGTGAAAATTTGACGAGGATTTGTTGTAGAGCCCTTTAGGGGGCAATATGGTGACTAAGTCCCAAGAAGAGAGTGGTGGCCCACTAACGAGCATGAAGCTGGCAGGGTTTAAGGGAAAACAAGCTACTAAACTGGCAAGGCCATGTATGAATCCAACAATGTACCAAACCGGCAATGCAGGTATCGTACCAAGATATGAAATTTGACTAAGCCTGGATACCAAGTCGGCAAGGCATTTGGTTGCCAGGAAATAAGGTACCAAGTCGTGTACTAACTAAGAGAGTCATACAAAAACTAAGTCTGGATATCAAGTCGACAAGACATGTTTGGTATTAAGTTACCAATCTCCCAAAAACTAACTATAAAATCAAACTGGCAGGGTACTAACAGAATGAGGAGGTGACAAGGTGGCCACCCGACTGGGCAACAAGTCGCCATGGACCATTCCTCTCTTCTCAAGAATAAGTATGAAATCTTAGGTGTGGTGGATGGTCGATCAGGATATTATGGTAAATGTGTCAATGTGACAATTTGATGAGGACTTGGTGTAGAGCCCATTAGGGGTCCATATGGAGACTACGTATAAAGACAGGATTGGTGGCCTACTAACGGGGAACCAAGCCGGCAAGGTGTAAGGTAAACACTTGATGAGATTCTAAAACTAAAGTATGGAGATCAGGGTGACAGGGCTGGCTTGGTAGTAGGGGGTATCAAGCCAATGAGACAGGCTTGGTAGCCATGCTGGCGATAGGGTATCAAGCCTAGCGGCAAGATGACGTGGCTAAGTATGGAACCCCAAAGGTGAAGACATTACAACTAGCTTGGTAGCAAGTAAAAGATGCTTTCTAGACTAAGTGTGTAGTCTTGGTGGGTAAAGGGGCCAAGTCTCATCCCGTCAAGACATGATCATGGAAAGGTGACAAGATGGAGGGTGGTATAAAGATGAGAGCAACATGGATACTAAGTATGAGGTCTCCATGGTTATCAAGTAGTCGTTGTGGTAAAAAGAAACATGATGGAGGCGAGGCAAGCAGGCCCTAACCTCATCTAGTCAAGACAGGCGTCTAGATGGACCTCAACTCAACACCAGTCAACCCTGATACTAAGCCACCCAGATGCCATTTACCAACCGGTCACCAAGGTAGAAGTGAGGACCTCACGACGATTTGGAGCAACCGGCTAGCTAGAGGTTACCAAGGTGGTTACCAAGGCAGTTACACCTGGTGGCTAGAAATAGAAGAAAGAAAGATGGGAAAATGGTTCCACAACCCAATATTTGACACACAATGTTAAACTTTATCTTTTCTTTGCAAATTAGTCATAACCGTTAGTATTTGGAGCTCTCACTGAACCTCCACTGGAGTAGGGATAATTTAACATAGCTTGCTGCCAGAAACCATCAAAAATATCAAACATCCTCGTTCGAACATTGTTCGGTGAGGAGTGAACTGTGTATTTGTCATTCTTCAAGAAGTCAAGGTCAAAGCATTAATATCAAACGCAAGATTTTCCTCGTTAGGAAACAAATTGGCACACCTGGTGGGACACTTTGTTTGATTTGGCCCTAAGATTGAGACAACAAGAAAGTGATCTTTCACATAGGTTAGTTAATGAGTCGGTGGCCAAGTTCAAACTTGGCCGGACAACAGAAAGTGTTTTCGGCAACAATGGCATAATTGAGATCTTGCCACCGGTAGTACCTTATGTCGATGTAACCACCACTTTTATGTCCTTCTGTTTGATAGTGGAGGAGACCCACAAGATGATGGAGGAAAAGTGCCAAGTCATAGAAGAAAAGCGTCGGATGGTAATGGAGAACCACCGATTCATGAAGGAGAGTTTGAATGGACATTTTAGAAGTTCACAAAAGACAAGTCTCAAACTTGATTCTCTTAGTTTTACCTTAGATAGACTTTTGGATAAGTTTTTTGAAGCGGCTATTAAAATTCAAAATTGCTTAGATAAGTTTAAAAAATATTATATAGAACCAGTGGTGCAAGAAATTTCTTTACCATGGTATTGAACAACCAAGCAATGCTACTGAGGATAGAAATCTTCTAGGTTGTAGTTGTCGGAACAAGAAACCACGACAAGAGAACTTGCCGCTTCCACCGATGAGCCAACCACCATCTCACCACTTGCATAACGGCGATATTCCTACCACCACTCAAGTAGAGGGATTACCCAATGTGGGAGTTGGAGAACTGCCACTACGTTCAACAATCATGTTCAAATGCTAAAGCACTGCGAGAGATGGAATTAGATGCTAAAGCAACGAATATCTTATATTGTGCAATATGTCCAGATGAGTTCAATAAGGTGAATCGGTGCAATCCCACACATCAGATCAGGAAAACCTTGGAAATATCACATGAAGGAATAACTGAGGTAAAAGAATCCAAAATATATTAATTGGTGCATGAATACCAGATGTTAAAAATGCATCCAGGTGAGTATATCTCTTATATGTATGTACAGTTAGGGGTGGGCAACGGGAACGGGTATTTGGGTATACCCGTACCCGTTCCGTTTTTTAAGGGTTACGAGTACCCACATTACCCGTAATATTTTAAACGGATGGGACTTGGGATTGTACAGTCCTAATATGGGTACCCGCGAATACCCGTTTGGGTAATATGGATACCCATTGTACCCATTCAAATTACAAAGACAGATTTAATTCAGCCCATGCGCCAAGCCCATTTCATTTTCGGCCCTTACCCTTTTCAATTTCTCCATTTTCAGCCCTTACCCACTGAGACCGTTAGAAGCACCCCTAGCAGACGCGACGCGCAGCTTCTCTGGGCAGGAATCTCAAGTTTGTCTGGTCCCTGGAGGAGTCGTCTTCGGTACGAGAGAGTAGAGACGAAACCTAGCTCGCCTCCTTCATTCACCGCCGCCGCCTCTGAGCTCTCCCTCTCAGTCCCTCTCCTCTGCGCAGCCGCCGCCTCCATTCCACTCCGAGACCGTCGAGGCGTAGACCTGCAGCGAAGCAGCAGCAGGCTTCCTTCTTCTCACCTGGCGGCCAGCAGCAGCCAGGCTTCCTTCTTCTCACCCGGCGGCCAGCAGCAGCAGTCAGGCTTCCTTCTTCTGCTTAAGGTTTGAGATTGAATGTGTTGTAGAGAATGTCCATATATATCAGGCCTTTGTGATTGAATTGAATGTGTTGTACAGAATGTCCATATATATCAGGCCTTCTTTGGTTGCTTTTTAATTTTGTATTGAGTTACTTGTTATAATGTTATTTCTTGTGCTAATTACTAGTTAGGTTTTTAATTTCCAGTTTGGGTATTTATGGGTAGTATGGGTACCCGTTATCCGTCCCGTACGGGTAATGGGTACCCGTTTCCCATATGGGTTTGGGATATGGGATGGACTTTGGTCTCCAGATGGGACTGGGTACCCGTTTAAAACGGGACGGGTATCCCGTCCCGTCCCGTTGCCCACCCCTATGTATAGTTTAATTTAATAGTAAGTAGAATCAGTGATTTAGAAAAAATTTATGATAATGCAGAGTTGGTCAGGAAAATTCTTTGGTGTTTACCTAAAGAATGGATGCCTAAGAAATCTACTATAGAAGAGGCAAAAATATTTTCTTCACATAGTATAGAAATCCGATAGGATCCTTAATTAGTCATGAAATTGCCTTAAAAGCTCAAAGTGATGAGGATAATAACAAGAAAAATAAAATTTTAGAATTTAAGGCTTCCGAGATAAGAGTCACAAATGATGAAGGATCAGGGCATGATTTTGATCAAGGATTTGCTCACATTTTAAAAAAATTAAAAAAAATTTAATTAGAAAGAAAACAAGGGGAAGCTCCTTCAAATTTAGTGAGAATAATAGAAATGTAAAGCTAAAATCTTCTTTATGTTCAAAAGAAGAAAAATAAAATGGAATGTGATTGTGGGATCAAGGTTACCAGAATGTTACAATTGTAGAAAAAGTGACCATGTAAGGGCCGAATGTCCAAACAAAGGATGTAGTAGAGAAAAATCCTATACACTAGCTTAGAGTGGATCAGAAGATGAAAGTGAAGATGACGAAAGTGAAATACAAGGTTATATGGCATTTGCCAACCATGATGATGGATCCACTTCATCATGATCGCATGGTAGATGAGGTATGTTCATTTTTTACAACTTATGATAGTGATTGTGTTTCAAATCTCCGTAGTAGTATAGTTGAAGTTTATGAAGAAATGCAAAATCATTTTGAAAAGCTAAAAGATAGGTACTGCAAAGTAAAAGATGATTTGAAATTAAGTAAGAATGAAATTAAGAAATTAAAAGAGGATATTGCAACGCTGAGTGATGAAAATCAAGCCCTGAAGAAACTAAATGATAAATCTAAGAATAATAAAATTCTCGAAGAGCTAGAAGAATTAAGAATTATAAATAATGATCTTGAAAGGAAGGTAATAGACTCTAAAGCTAAACTTCTAAAAGCAAATATTAAGATAGAGCGATTAGAAGGAAAACAAGTCTATAGAAAAGGCTCAAAAGCCTCAAAATAAATCAACCATCTGGTTTAAATGTGATAAAGATACTTATAGTGAAAATGATGACAAAATTAACTGCATGTATTGTAAGAAGAGTTACCATAGTGAAGAAATGCAAGAAAAACTTGAGGTGTAGTAAATGTACTAGAAGAGGACATAGTAAACAAGAATGCTACTCAAGAATTGTATGTTATTGTTGCCATAAACCAGGACACATTAGTAGAAATTGTTACTACAATAACTACTATGACTCTTATCAATCGTATCCCAAGAAAAAGGCACCCAAGCAAGTCTAGGTACCAAAATAAAAAATCTAAATGTTTTGCAGGTCATTATGGGAGCAAGAGCAAATGAATGGTATCTAGATAGTGGATGCTCTCACCATATGACGGGAAACAAGAGTCTCTTTTCCGAGTTGACTCTTAAAAAGGGAGGTAAAGTAACTTTTGGAGATAATAGTAAAGGTAGAATTCTTGGGGTTGGGACGATTGGAGAACATTCAAATCCTACTTTCACTCAAGTACTATTTGTTGATAATTTTAAGCATAATTTGTTATCTATCAATCAATTATGTGGTACAACTAATAGGGTTGTGTTTCAACCAAATGCATGCCTTATTGAGAGAATCAAAGATAATAAGCTTTAGGAAAAATAATGTCTATGTCATTGCCCTAAGTAAAAAGGCATCATTCAATGAAACTTGTTTCCTTTCTATAGATAAGAACAAGAATTTTCAATGGCATCAAAGACTAGGACATGTTAGCAGCAAGAGACTAGCTAAATTACCTTAATTGGGTTTGGTAGACGGACTCCCACAACTAACAAAAAACAAAGGATTTCTTTTGTGATGCATGTATTCTAGGAAAACAAACTCGATCATCCTTCAAGATTATATCTCATTTTTTATCATCTAAGCCATTAGAACTTCTACATCTAGATCTTTTTGGACCAACGAATGTGATGAGCTTTGGAAGAAAGTATTATGACTTTGTCATAGTAGATGACTTTTCAAGGTATACTTGGGTAATCTATTTGTCTCACAAAGATGATACTCTTGAGAATTTCAAGACACTTGTCAAAGATATTCAAAACAAGAAATCTCTTAATGTTAAGGGCATTAGAAGTGATCATGGAGGGGAGTTTGATTCAGAGAGTTTTGAGAACTTCTGTGATCAACTAGCTATTTCCCATGAATTTTCAGCTCTTAGGACTCCACAACAAAATGGAGTAGTTGAGCGAAAAAATAGAGCTCTCATAGAACTAGCTAGAACAATGCCCAATGATTACATTCTTCCAAAATTCTTTCGGGCAGAAGCACTAGCTACCGTATGCTATGTTCTAAATAGAGCATAAATTAGGTCTATCATAGAAAAAACACCTTATGAAAGTTGGAGGATTGAAGACCAAATATTAGCTACCTTAGACCATTTGGGTGCATGTGTTTTATACTTAATACCGAGGACCCTCTAGCAAAACTTGACTCAAAGTCAGATGAAGGAGTACTTTTAGAATACTCTACTCATAGTAAAGCTTATAGGGTCTTCAACAAAAGAACCTTGAAGTTCGATGAATCAATAAATGTTGTTTTTGATGAAACTGACTACATTTCTAAGCATGGAAAAGAGCATAAGGATGATGAAGAATAATTTTGGACTAATCCGAATGATGACAACAACCTTAGTCACTCAAGAAGAGGAGCCTTTGACGAATGAGCTACTCAAATCACACGAACCTAGAGCACTGCCTCATATTGCTAAAGCACATCCTCCACATCAAGTCATTGGAAAAATCAATGTGAAGGTCAAAATAAGATCAAGTAAGGACTTGTATCAAGGTCAAACTTCTTACTTTTCATTAATTGGTACAGTCTGTTTATCTTTAATTGAAATGAAAAAGGTTAAGGAAGCCTTACTAGATGAAAGTTGGCTTTTTGCTATGCAAGAAGAAATTATTCAATTTGCTAGAGCTCAAGTATGGGATTTGGTTCCTCGATCAATAGGTAAAACAATTCTAGGGTTTAAATGGGTTTACCGCAATAAAACGGATGATCAAGGAATAATCACTAAAAATCAGGCTAGATTGGTTGCTAAGGGTTATAATCAAGAAGCAGGAATTGATTATGAGGAAACGTTTGCTCCGGTGGCCCGTATTGAAGAGATTAGATTACTGTGTGCCTTTGCTTGCTCCATGAATTTCAAACTGTATCAAATGGAAGTTAAAAGTGCATTTCTAAATGAAGTTTTACAAGAAGAAGTATATGTGGAATACCCTCCCTGTTTTGAAGATCATAGGTTTCCTAACCATGTTTTCAAACTTAAAAAGGCCCTCTATGGGTTAAAACAATATCCTAGAGATTGGCATGAAAGACTAACTCAATTTCTAAAAAGCGAAGGGTTTGTCAGGGGCGATTGATACAACTCTTTTTCTAAAAGGGAAGATGATCTTATGGTTGTCCAAATTTATGTTAGTGACATAGATTTTGGTTCCACTAATGAAGCTATGTGTTCCGAGTTTGCCTCCTCTATGCAACAAAATTCGGAGATGAGCATGATGGGTGAGGTTACCTACTTCCTAGGATTTCAAATTCAACAAACCTCAAAAGAAATTTTCATTAGTCAGTCAAACTGTCAAACTACACTCAGTCAATGCTGACCAAGTTTGACCTTAGTAATCTCAACCCTAGCTCGACCCCAATGGCTACCAACATCAAATTAGATAGAGATGAAGGTGGTATAGATGTTGATGAGCGTAAATATCATGGCATGATAGGTTCACTGCTCTATCTTACGGCAAGTAGGCCAGATAACATGTTTAGCATTTGTATGTGTGCCCGTTTTCAATCTTAACCTAAGAAAATTCATCTTAGTGTCGTTAAGCGCATCTTTCGTTACTTGAAAGGTACACTAAATCTAGGATTATGGTACCCTAAAGAAAAAAATCCCGAGCTTATAGGTTTTAGTGACTTTGACTTTGCGGGTAGTAGAACTGATAGGAAGAGTACCTCTAGGTCTAGTAAGTTTTATGAACGCTCCTTAATCTCTTGGTTTAGTATGAAACAAAACTCTGCAGCACCATCCACCGCAGAGGCTATGTATATTGCCACATGAATTTGTTGTCAATAACTTCTATGGTTAAGAACTCAACTTGAAGACTATGGACTTCAGATTCCCACTGTCCCTATTTTGTGTGATAATACGATTGCAATAAATATGTTAAAAAATCCAGTACAACAATCTAGAACGAAGCGTATTGAGATTAAATATAATTTCTTTGAGACCTAGTTCAGAGTCAGCATGTTTCAATTTCTTTTGTACCCACGGGTGATCAACTAGTGGACATTTTTACTAAACCATTTGCCGAATATCAATTTTTATTTATTAGGAGTAAATAGGCATGATTTTTCAATATGATCTTGCTAGTTTTAGATCTTGATCGTGCTCCTAACATTAATGGTGTACTTGTAATCTTTATTTTCTTTCCTTATTTGACATAAAATCCAACTAAAAATAGAAATCAAATAAAAATAATACATTTATTCAAATAAATCATAATAAAATAACATATAAAATACGAATTCCTATCCTTCTCTCCTAGTAGAATCCGTCGTGTCTGATTTCCTTCTCCCATTTTTAATTTTGACGATTCTCGACCTCAGATTCTGCCCACCGATCCTCTTTATCCAAGCTCGACTTGCCTTTCCATACTTGCTCATTTCCTTTTTCCCTTCGCCGAATATGATCTTCACACTCCGTCCTTGCAAAATCGCCATTGTCCTTCTTCTATATATTCTTCCCCCTTTCCAATATCACTCTCACTGCAATCCCTCCTTTTGGCTACCTATCTCACCGCTATCACATGCTTCTCTTCTGACGACTCATTTAATCGGCAGCAAAAGATCCATTCCTACACCGTTTGTCATAGCAAATTAATCGTTTCAAGTGAGATTATTGGCAAACCATTTTGGGTTGCTCAATCAAGCTAGTGCTAATCTCTCTCTATTGAAATCTGAGCTAATTTGCGCATTGACCACATCAAAAGTATTCATTATTGGAGCTTACTTGTTAAAAGATTTAGATGGTGTGTTTCATGATCAATGGTAAGTATATCAAACCCTACCTCCCTTCTTTTTGGGACGTGGGGTGTTTACGGGTTCAATGTTAGTCGGCCACCATGATGGTCGGCATGTCAAGCCTCCTACATTCTAAGGCATGGCATGATACCCTCTTGATGAAGCATGGCTTGAGTAGTTAGAACTATAAAACTATAGGATTTTGTACCCTAACCTAATCCATAAATAATGGTTGAAATATTGTTCCATCCATTATTGCAAAGAAGTGAAAACTTCTATCATGGTTGGAACAAGTTCGTCATAGCAAATGAATCGTTTCAAGTGAGATTCTTGGCAAACCATTTTGGGTTGCTCAATCAAACTAGTGCTAATCTCTCACTATTGAAATTTAAACTAATTTGCGCATTGACCACATCCAAAGTATTCATTATTGGAGCTTACTTGTTAAAAGATTTAGATGGTGTGTTTCATGATCAATGGTAAGTAATTCAAATCATACCTCCCTTCTGTTTGGGCTGTGAGGTGTTTACGGGTTCAATGTTAATTGGCCACCATGATGGTCGGCATGTCAAGCCTCCCACATCCTAAGGCATGGCATGATACCCTCTTGATAAGCATGGCTTGAATAGCTAGAACTATAAAACTATAGGATTTTGTACCCTAACCCAATCCATAAATAATGGTTGAAATAATTAAATAATAATATTTTGAGAAGTAGTGATTGTATGCATAATATTTTGGAGTGAAACATATTTCGATTTACATAATCTACATGTTTAGAGTGAATAATAATTTTTAATACCAAAGGTAAGATAGCCTAATGGTAAAGCTGCCGCGATAGTGAAAGTTTGGGAGTTGCAGATCCCATATTCGAATTTAAGCGAGGCATGTTTGTGTTCCCGGAGGTACAAGGCTGCTAGGAGCGAAGCCCCGTTGGCGTCGAATTTGATTGCAGGTGGCCCCTAGGTTTAGTAGGACCCGTTGTCACAAAATGACTGTCACAAAGTGGCACGTGAGGCTGAGGTTCCTAGGTAATAAAAAAATAACTTTTTAATTAATTTTGAAAACATATTATAAAAATATTTTTCTATTTTTTTATTTAAGAAAAAAAGGGAAATAACTCACCTCAATTAGGAATGACAATGTGCAAGTATGGGCAAAGTGGGTATCTCGATATTCATATCCGTCACGTGGTAAGTTGGATTCAGATTAGGTAATTTATGACGGGACATGGGTCGGGTTTGGTCAACCTATTTGAAAATGCAATTAAGAGAAAAAATATTAGAAATATTAATTTTTCATTAAAAAATAAGAAATATAATATAATATGGTACACGTAATTATATTATTCTAGAAATTGATGTTCTCACCTAATCACAACTTTATTATAGCCAAAATATGAGATAATAAATATAAAATTTAAGTAAAATTACATATACTTTAAACAAAAGCGGGTCAGGAATGGATCTAATATGTACATATCAAGTTGATGAGGAATTTTACAATGCTATATAGCATTGGTGCTATAGGTTTTTGTCTTTATGGTGCAACTTGAAATTGTACCTTTAACTTAATGGTACAACTTCAGATTGTACCTATACCTTTTGTACAAATTCTTTTATGATAAAACTTGAACTTGTACATTTATGTGATAGTACAACTTCAAGTTGTGAAGTTGTATCATAACATAATAGTACAAATTCTTTTATGGTACAATCTAAACTTATACATTTAGCATTATAGTACAACTTCAAGTTGTACATTAAAGCACCAATACTTTATCGCGTAGTATAAGTGCTCCAAGTTGAGAAGAGTAATCTATACTCTCAAACTCTGTTGGGATTTTTAATGGTGTGAATGAAAATAAAAGGGGAAAGATCCAAGAGAATCTCTTGAAGTACCATGTTGGTAATTTGTGGGAAGGCATGGCCGCGAATTCGGTCGATCTGATGTAATATGTTGGTAATTGGTAATATTGGTTTGTGTAACCAACCAGACCAAACCAAGTTGAACCAAACCGATATGGCAGTTGGAATAACCAAACCGGTCCAACTATCATGGGCCGAACCGATACAATGGTTCATTATTTTTAGATGAACCAATGTGTTGGTTGGGGTGTAACCACCCATATGAAGAGTTGCCTCCCTTGATACGCACCCCTTCATTTTCTATAAATAGCACCATACGCCCCTCAAGTTTTGAGGATGAGAAATATACGTTTTTTCTGGCCAAAACTCTGCTAAAATCCAAAAACTAGTTTTCTGCATTTTTTTCAAAGAGAAAATCGAGTGAAGTGTTGTTCTCGCCGGTTCGCTGCATTCGATGGGTTCCGGGGTTTGAGGTACCGCTACGCCGGAAAAGGTACGTCCTTTTTATTCTGTGAGAAATCATTCCATAACCTTGGATACTAGAGGGAATAAGATTCTTTAAGGAGAGATAGTGAATTCTATCGTCTAAGACACTTGCATGTGTCTTTACATATTTTCTTAATCTTATGTGTTTGTTTGTGTTGTAAGAAAATAGTATACTTGAACAATTTCCTCACCCATCTCTACTCCAAAGAAGTCAAATAAATTGAGTCAGATCAAATTATCATCCTACTCTCAGTCTCACCACTCTCACGTTAATTACTCTTCCTTCTGAATATAACAAACAACTAAATATAACCATATTTTCCCACTCCCAGATCATATTGGAACAATAATCAGACAATCAAATTTGAGAGAAAGAGAAAAATAACGCAAATAATTTAACCCGGACGGCCGGACCCAAGATAGAGGAAATTAGGAGAACTAAAGTTCTTTTTTTAGAGAGAATTAGGAGAACTAAAGTTAGGAAGTCGTCTATCATGGTTAGGAAGTAGTCTTTGGTAAACAATGTGTTAGGAAGTTGTCTGTTAAGAAGTGGTCTTTGGGAAACAATACTTAGTTAGTCGGCTTATCGTCATATGTAGTTTAGGTATTTTGGCAGCCAGAACCGCAACGATGCTTCTTTTCATTGTTTTTTTTTTTAATTTTACTATGCTAATGGATTAAAGTTGAAACTGCCTATGTTTTAAAACTGTTTTTTTTCTCTAAAAGTTAAAGCAGGTTAAACATTTCGAAAAACTGAAAGTGTTTTTTATAACATATAAAAGTAAAAGTTTCGATTTGAAACTTGTGCGAAAAACTGTTTTCATAATACAAGATTATTCTTATCATATTTAATTTTATTTTGGAAAAATTCTTTCATTTCTATCTTTTAAAAATAAATAAATAAATAAATAAATGGGGTAGAAACGAATAGGGGATGGCCCCTATTCAAAGTAATAACGGTTCCATGAGTAATCGGGGGAGATTTTGATGATGTTTTATCTCCTGAAGAAATATGAAACTTGAACATGGTGAAAAGTTGTATCAATGACTTCAAAGGATGGGTAGCTGAGATGGAATTGTATTATCACAGGTCAAATTGTTTGTTCTTTACTTGGAAAAAAGACAGGAAACGAATCCTATTGATAGAAAGTTAGATCGAGCACTAGTAATAGTAAATGAAGCTTGGTTTGACACATTTCCTGGCTGTGCAATTGAAGTTCTGCTGGATACCTTCTCAGACTATTGTGAGGTCTTAGTCCTAAGCCCTTAAAGTATTTTGAATTCTAGGTAGAGCATCCTGACTTTCTAAACATCATCCAAGAAGGATGGTCTACTCAGGTTCAGGGGGCTTATATAATGGTTGTGAAGGCTAGACTTAGTGAAGTAAAGAAATGATTAATGAAGTTGAATAAAGAGGTGTATAGTGACATTAATAGTCAGGTAAAAGCAATAGGAGGAAAACTTATAAATGCTTAGTACCAATCTCTATCAGACTCTTCTGGTCCTACTTTTGTTGAGGTTGTTGAATTTTACAAATTTACCTGGCCCTAAGGCCAGGTCCCCTTTGGTCTCTCACAGAACCCTTTACTTTGAAAGTGAGGTATGGTTCTATTGAAGAAAAGATCGGTTGAGGTTCATCGATGGAAATGAAGACTCCAGGAGACCACAGGTAGGGGTGAACAAACACACCCGCGAACCGACCCACCCGCCTAACCTGACCCAACCCATCCGTTTATCACTAAAACCAAGTTTATGGTTGGATGAGAGTTTCTTTTGTACAATCTGCCTCTTTTGGGTTGGGTTTGGATTTTTTATTAAACAAACCGTAGAACTTGACTCAACCCGTGTTCCAACTATTGGTATGAGTACTCATACCTAAAAATATCTATGTCGTATATTGCAATATTTATGAAAAAATTAAGATATTTTGCCATATTTTTCTCTCGTCCCTAATCTAATTCAATCTGCGACTTAATATTTAGACTTGGAATTAATAGAGCTATGATTTAGTGGGTTTGCTTGTGGTTGATGTACGAAACCTCCCCGCCCTGTTAACGACGTTTGACTGAAAACTAATGTACAGAGTGCCAGCATAAATAGAATCCCCTCAACCGGGCGCTAATTCCTCTGCAAGCGGCAAAGTAGCTTCCCACTCCCAGCAAAAGAGTAGACACAAAAAAAAATGGCAGTTGTTGTGGGAGCTCATGTTGAGCAGCAGCACTCAACCCTTATTCCTTTCTCCCAAATCCGCGCCAAACCAGTCCACTTCATTGTCACCAAAAATAGTCCTGTTCACTGCCTGAACGACCGCGGTGCCGCTCATGCTCGCATGTACTGTTCATCTCCGTTCACGATCCGCAGCGATGTGGCTATTCAGCAGCGGCGGTCGGGAAACTATGGGACGGGGCAGTGGGGCATCGATACCCCTCATCACCTGCTACAGACCAAATACGACAACGCAGCAGCTGTCAACCGTACCTCTGCTGCATATGTATGGTTCCATCTTTCATTATTGTTAGTCACAACAATTACGACATGGATAATCATATATACTGTATACATATGTTTCTGTCACAAATTGCAGACGGGGTATAGTACTAGACCGAGAATCGAAGAGCTGAAAATGTACGTGAAGGGTCTGCTGGAGATGAAGCGCGTAGAGGGTAACGACGAGACCAAAATGTTAGAGCTGATTGATGCGCTGCAGCGGCTGGGGTTGGGTTACCATTTCGAGAGAGAGATTCAGGCTGCTCTGGAGGCCATCGTTGCTTCTTCTTCCCGCATTTGGGCTGAGAGCCTACATGCTTGCGCCCTCCGTTTTCGTCTCCTCAGGCAGGGTGGAATCCCCATCTCTCCAGGTACGTGCAATCATATTAACAAATTTTCATTTGTTGCAGAAATTAAGTAATCCCAACTAGATGGATCACTCAAACAAAATGGTCTTACGTACAGATATCTTCAAGGGATTTAAAGACGACGACGATGGTGGATTCAAGGCACAGATAGTGAGAGATGTCAAAGGGTTGTTGGAACTGTATGAAGCTTCATACCTGGCGGTGACAGGGGAGGACATTATGGAGGAGGCCAGGGCTTTTGCTGTCAAGCATCTGACGGAGATTGTCAATACTAATAAGGACGATGCTAACAACGTTGATGAGTACTCGAGTCTAGTAATGAAGCATAGTTTGGAGCTGCCCTTGCAATGGAGAATGCAGAGAGACGAGACTAGCTGGTTCATCCAGCTTTGCCAAGATAGGCAGCTGGAACCCGACATCTCACCCCTGCTTGAACTCGCCACGTTGGATTTCAACTTTGTCCAACGTCTGCACCAAAATGAATTGGAGGAGCTGACAAGGTTCCTACTGATCATTTATGACCCCATATTTACTTTTGAGGCCACCATTTTGGCTTTCAGGATTGAGTTCTTTTTTGTTGCCCCCTTCCTTTTTTGCATTGTGCAGTTGGTGGAAAAACTTGGGACTTATTGAAAACCTGGAGTTCGCTAGAGATCCTTTGGTGGAGAGCTTCCTATGGGCTATCGGGATCACCTCTCACCCTGAAATGGGAGAGTGCAGAAAGGCCATGGCCAAGGTTGCACTCATCGTTCACATCATTGACGACGTCTACGATGTATATGGTTACCTCGATGAACTTGAGCTTTTCACAACCGCCATTGAGAGGTTCGATTTTCCTCACAGTCAATATTAAAGCGTTTTGGTAAATGAAATTTCCAGGTTATTGTGACAACTGACAAGTTTTTTTTGTCAGGTGGGACATCAATGAGCTGGATAAGCTTCCTCGTTATCTGCAGCTATGTTTCCTGGCCGTCTACAATACTGGAAACGAGATGTCTTATGCCAACCTAAAGCAACAAGGATTCAACAGCATGCGCTACATAAAAAAAGCGGTACTGCATTTGATTGACGAAATAAAATTATGATAATCATTAATTTGGTATGGTATCCTTGTGATTAATTAGTTACTAATTATTTTCAATGTTGCATGATGCATAATTAGTGGGCGGATCTCTGTGGTTCATACTTGGAAGAAGCCAGAGCATATCATTCTGGGAGTATTCAGAATTTAGAGCAATATTTGACAATTGCCTCCAAATCAGTAGCAAGCAGCATTGTTCTTATTCACGGCTACCTTTTTTCCCCAACCGACATCCTTCGAAATGGCGATTTGGATATGTTAACGGAAGTCGATCCCAACCTCACACGTTTGACTTCAATCATTGTTCGTTTAACGAATGATCTCGCGAGCTCAAAGGTACACACCAATGTATATTTATTGAAGTTTATGCATGAAATAAAAACAACTTAGTCATTAGAAGGACATCACATTTTAAGCATTTGTGAAACAAATTAATGGTAACCCATAGAAAATCGTGTGTGAAAAATTAAGGCAACATTTAACATTTTTACATCTGATGTTGTGATGAAACAGGGGGAGTTGGAAAGGGGAGATGTCGTGAAAGCAGTTGAATGTTGCATGAGAGAGAGCAGATTATCGGAAGAAACTGCCCGTGAGCATATAAATTGGATGATTGGCGAAATGTGGAAAATGGTGAATGAAGATATCTTGTCTTCTCAAGGTTGTTTGAATAATAGTAGCAGTAACCCGATGCTTCCTCCCACGTATGTGAATCTAGCAGTGAATGTTGCTCGAGCTAGTCATTACATGTATAAGCACCAGAACTCGAAAGCATCATTTGTTGTGAAAGATAAAAGCAGAGCAATGATTTTGCTTTTTGACGCATTTTAGGAGGATAATATTATGTTGTAGTTAAGGGCAAGACACGACAATAATGAGTTATAGGTATATTTCACTTTTTAATAATTACTATTTTTTTCTCAAAGATGACATTTTACAAGTTTACGGATCAAATATACTTTTTTAATATAATTATATTTTCAAATATGGCAGTATCTAGTGAGAGCTTTGTGCAATCAATCACTTAGTTTGAACCTAACCCCCCCCCCCCCCCCCCAACCCCCCCCCCCCCCCCCCCCCCCCCAATCAATCACTTCAACAATACAGGTTGATTTGGATCCGAATATGTTGGATTCACCATGGCCGATTTGATCCGAATCTGTATGATTCACCATGGCCAATTTCAATACTTGTTAGCTCTCGATGAGTTGTAGAGTTCAAGGAAAATATTCAGTCTTTTAGCAGGTTAACAACAGATGAACCTCTAGCAGTACTAATATTTTTACATGGCTTATGTGTCAAAGAGGATTGTGCCAAAGTGCAACAGGCATTGGCATAGCCAGAGATATAATTTAGTGGGGTCCAAACAAAACTAAATACAACATTTTTCTCAATTTGAGCGAAATCGCTCATCAATCTAAGCCACTTTTAGAGCCTATTGTATTGTATTTGTTGTCAAAATATTGAGTTGTGTTTCTTGTTAAATCATCTTCTTCATTAGTTAATGGTAAATTGTTAAATCATCTTCTTGTTAAATCAATATATAATAAAAATAATTATTTATAATAATGCTCAAATAAAAATTAATTATAACAACAATAATAATCATTGGTCAAGCGACCTCGAAACTCGAAACCCAACTCGTAAATGGTCCTCCTAAGGGGGTTCTCGTGCCTATATTTAAATTGAATATGATCAAACTTAGTCAAACACGTTTGAATCTGTAAGATTTAACTATTTAGTTAAGTAAACTGAGTCAACTAAAATGTTCCTCTCTATCTTTTCCACAAACGCTTCTTATCTCTAATTTTCAATGCAAATTTGAGTCAACCAAGAGATATCGATTTGACTAGACGAACATTGACAAACTTGCTCTCGAAGTCAAACGGTCAACCCCAAACAACGTCTACATTAATGATAGCTATAACATAAAATTTATAATATTAATTATTATGTAATTATAATATAATTAAAAAATCCATAATTCCCCCCTCCCCCCTTCCTTCCTTCCTTCCTTTGCACCCCAATTCGAAGGGCAAGTCAAAATAGTAATTCTGCACCCCCATTTTGCACCCCCCACTGTTACAAATTATCTAAACGAGTGCAAATGTCTTGAAAATTGTGTTTACCCCTCCCATTTGCACCCTCCTCCCATTTGCAGCTCTTCCCAAACATGGTGTAAAAGTATTTTATTACATTCACGGTCATTAAAATTAGTTTTTATGTTCAAGTTTGGTCACTATCCGTTAGTCTGAGTTAAATTTAGCTAATGTGACAGTCAATTCTGACAGTTGACCATTAAATGAGTGACATGACAATTGAAAAATAATAAAAATTCTAACTTTAATTTTTCAAAATTTTGAAATTTTATCACGATCATATAAAATTAAAACTAAAGTTTAATTTAATATAAAATAAAATAAAATAAAATAAAATAATAAACCCTAATCCTTTTTCAACTCCCTCGGCAGAGCATGTGCTTTCTTTGCTCTTTTATTTTAATGAAGAAAGCACTCTCCCTTGTTTTTCTCTGCCCCACCGTCGCTTTCTCATGCTTCGCCGTCGCCGGCCATTTTCTGTCTTGCATTACTCACCATGCCATGGGATCCTGCTCCACCCTCGCCATCATTTCCAGCTCGCCCACTTCCTGCGGCGTCGTCTCCAATCATGCTAGCCTTCCTCCTCCCTCACCACCTCCGCATCGGAAGTGTCGAGTAGACCCACGAGATCTCCAACGAACGAACAGCTGTTCTTTCTCCGATGTCCACAGCAGCTGAGAGGGAAACCCTGGTTTGATGCTATCACTCCCTAGCTCCGCTATGCAATTGATGGACTGGACGATGGAATTGAGCTTGTCGGGGTCGCTCTGGGTCTTGAGACCTCGGTCTTGGTCAGAGATGAGCCCGAGGAGGCGCTAGTTGGCCGCCGATCGTGATTGGTCCGCCATAGAGGGGCAACTGATTTTAGGGATTGCTCCTTCCAGAAAGACGGATATAGTTTTGGGGGATTTGTTGGTGTTTTGAAATTGGAGCGCAGTTCGGAGGAGACGTGGTCACCGGGTGATGGCGAGAAGGAGCGGCGATTGAATCAACGCAGAGGTGGTGGAGGAGGAGTGGAGGACGACTAGGTTGGGTGTTTGAGATGATAGAAAATTATGTTTTTAAATTTTTTAATAAAAATGAGGTGAAAACTGAAAATAGTAAGAGTTTGAAAAAAAATATTATCTTTTCATTGCCACGTCACTTATTTAACAGTTAATTGTCAGTGTTGACCACCACATCAGCTAAACTTAACGGAGATTAACAAAGAGTGATCAAACTTGAGCAGAACAATTACTTTTAGCGACCATGAATAATATAAAATATTTTTAATGACTAAACATGAATTTTTTTAGTACTTTTAGTCAATGCAGTCAAAATCGCGTTTTAAAACTTAAAAACTTACGATTTTACACTTTTAGGTCACCAAAACGCTTTCGTTTCTAAATAAAATCGTTAGTGCATAAAATCGGACAAAATTACGTTTTAAAGCTCAAAATCGTACGCTTTTACGCTTCTAGTTCACCATAACGCTTTACGCTTTTACGCTTTTAGTTCACTAAATGGGTATTCTTTTCAAGAAATTAATTACAAAAAGTATATTTTAAAGGTAAATCACCAACAATATGATACATTTGAGATTAAAAGATACATACCAGGTACTTTGATGCATTCTCATCTTCAATACAATAATCTAATGCACCAGCTAGGTCATTCTCAAATTCTAGTATAGAGGGGAATGTGGCTTATTATTAAGATTATTTATGTTTACGAACTTATTGTTAAGATGCTATAAGTTGGTCTACTTTAGACATAAATTGAAGGTATTTATTAACTTATCTAAATTCCTAGCACTCTTATTTTTACATAGTCTATGTCATACTTAACAACTTTTTAGTTATTTTACAGCACACGTAAAAAACTTACGTTTTTACCCTTTGATTCTACGTTTTACGATTTTACCCATTTTCCACTTCTAGTTAGAATCGCGCTTTTGACTGCATTGCTTTTAGTAATCTTACAATTTACCCCATTTTTTAATGCGGCTTAATCGAGACATGGGCCAAGCCCAATACATATATGGCTCAACAGGCTAGCCGGCTTTTATTTAGCCACGTAAGGGCTTCCACAAACCTTCCTCCAGCCAGCAAATGTCAGTCATGGCCGGGATCCCAAAATTGTTGATGTAGCATCCTTTAATTAGGCAGATATTCATGGAAATGGCTACGAGTATACTAACCAGATTGGCGTGAGCTCCATAATCGAATTGTAGACTTTAGCGCTTTGGCCCAATTGGAGAGGGCCGACCAAAATTCCCACCCAATCAACTTTTCTCCCCACTCATTAAAGTCAGAATGGTTACGTTTCAGCTTTTCTCTAATAATTTAGACCCTTTATCGCTAGGAATCTAGGATGGCACAGCACCACATAATCAACAGCGAAAGCATTTCTGCCATGGAAAGAAAAATATTAAAACGCTCAAAAAATGTTTACACTAATATCTTACCTTAGGACGAGAGGATACGAGTCCAATGAACGGTCACTCGTCCCAATTTTAGTGGGTTTGCATGTGGTTGACGTACGAAGTCACCCCACCCTGTTAAGGACGTACATGAACATGACTAAGTGAGTGGGTGCCCTACCACCATAAAAAAACCTCCAGCATCAATAGAAATATAGAATCCCCTCAGCCGGCCACTTCCTCAGTTCCTCTGCAGGCAGCAAATAATAACCTCCAGCAAAGAGTAAACACAATGACTGTTGTTTTTATTGTCGGAACTCACTTTCAGCACTCAACCCTTCCTTTCTCCAGCTTTCGAGCTAAACCAGTCCACGTTATTGTCACCAAAAATAGTGCTGATTGTATGAACGGCCGTGCAGCTCCGATCATGATCCGCAGCGATGTGGCTACTGATCAGCATCAGCAGCGGCGGTCAGGAAACTATGAGCCGGGGCAGTGGGGCCTCGATATCCCTCACCAGCTGCTACAGGCCAAATACGACAACGCAGCAGCTGCCAACCGTACCTCTGCAGCATATGTATGGTTCCATCTTTTCATACGTGCAGTTTTTACTTTTATTATTGTTAGTGACGACAGGATAATCATATATATGTATGTTTCTCTTACAAATTGCAGTCGGGGTATAGTAGACCGAGAATCGAAGAGCTGAAAATGTACGTGAAGGGTTTGCTGGAGATCAAGCACGTAGAGGAAAATGATGAAACGAATATGGTGAAAAGGCTGGAGCTGATTGATGCAGTGCAGCGGCTGGGATTGGGTTACCATTTCGAGAGAGAGATTCAGACTGCTCTGGAGGCCATCGCTGCTTCTTCTTCCCACAACTGGGCAGAGAGCCTACATGCTTGCGCCCTCCGTTTCCGTCTCCTCAGACAGGCAGGAATACCGGTTTCTCCGGGTAGGGACAAATTTTCATTTGTTTTCTTATAAGGGTGATATTAGGGGTGTCAGTTAGTCGGTTTCGGTTTAACCGAAAATCGATTTCTCAGTTATCGATTAAACCTATTCACCCCTAATGCCTGCCGATTACCGATCGTGCCCAATCCACGATTAGCCGATCACCGACCAGTCGATTTTCGGTTTTAGTTCAGTTTAACCAGTGGCGGATACATGCATGTTTAGGGGTGTCCAAAATTTGGAAACACGATTATTCAATCTATGATAGTAGTTTGTGTATGAGAAAAAATGTTTAAGTGGTAGTGAGACACCTTTAAAATTTGGGGAAATGATTATCCAACCTCCCGTAGTAGTTTGCGTATTGATACAAGTAATATTTAAGTAGTAGTTTATGTGATTTAAACTTGGGACACTGCCACTATTAGTTAATATATTTTCAATTACGCTACAACTCATTTGTTATTGTGTTTTAAATCCAAATAGAATAGCAAAATGTTATTCTTATCTCAAATTATTTTCAAAACATAACGATTAAACTCAATTACGGGATAATCTTGTCTAGTAGGAATAGGATATATGTCAAGAGATATTTGTTGAGTAGTATAAACTCCTAATGCATTTTACCATTTTACGAAACACGTCTGAACTTTTAATGTAACTTTTATTATTTAGATATTTTCAAATTTAATAATTGTTTAATATGATTTTAATATTTAATTCTAATATTTAATTTAATTTAATTTTTCAAAGAGGACACCCCTATGTAGAATTCTTGGATCCGCCATTGGGTTTAACTATGGTAATCGTGAGACAACCCATCGGTTCGATTTTAACTGCCTAACCAGCCAGTAACTGACCAAAATCAGTCTCGCCTGCATGAAAACAATTATCATCATTCATCAATCTAATTCTCAATTTCTCACAAATTCAATTATCATCAATCTAATTCCTACTGCTACATGCAAGAATCGGTCCATCATCAAGACAGCAACTTACATTTTCATTGAGAATTCAAAGGGGACGGCGACTTGGAAGGGGTCGCGCCGTCGCGGGGGAGGGGGATGGCAGACTGCGCGACTGGCAGTGGTTGATGATGGGCTGCGGGGGATTGCTGGAACCGGCGGGGGAGGGAGATGGCGGACTAGCGAGCTAGCACTCGGCGAGGGCGAGGTCTCGGAGGACGGAGGTGGTTGCTGCTGGAGCCAGCGGTCGCAAGGTTGGATCGCGGGAGGATCGTCGGGGATCGTGGGGGGTTATCAGGGGGCCGCATGGGGTCGATGGGAGACGGCGTTCGTCTGGCGATGTCGATGGTTTGGCCGTCTGGAGTGGAGGGTAGAGACGGCGGGGGGTGAGTGGTCTGATGGTGAGGGAAGGGAGGGGTCCAGGTCCACGAAGGAGGAGGATAGGGCTTGGGGCGGGGCGGGCTGGGGGTTTGTTAGTGTGTTGTATAAGATTCAATATTGAACCTCTCCCAACAACTCGATTTATTGGGAGCAACTGGTTCTGGACATGGTATCAGATCCTGGTTGTGGCCGGGAGGTCTTGTGTTCGAATCCCGATGACCCCATTTGTGAAGCACATGTATTCTCGTGTTCAGGATATGTGCAAACGAAAGCCCTTATGAGTTTACTGGCTTTCGTTTGAGGGGCTGTGTTAGTGAGTGGTATAAGATCCATTATTGAACCTCTCCCAACAACTCGAGTTATTGGGAGCAACTGGTTCTTGACATAGTTTGTTTAGGGTAAAATGTCATCGTTTAGGGCAGGACGGCAGAGTTTGGACACGGGGGTATGCAGCGGTCACTTATCTTCGGTTAGTCGATTAACCAGCTTCGATTACTCGTCTAATCAATGTTCCAACCAGTTGCGCCAACCACCGACAGAAGTTTGGAAACGGTCGATTTTCAATTAGCCGCTAACCAGCGGTTATCGGTTAGACCGGCTCGTTAGCTGCTAACTGAAAACCGAACTGCCACCCCTAGGTGATATGACATGATTTTTATAGTTAGGTGCTACTCAAGAAATTCAAATCAGGGCCGACACTAAGGTCTAAGGGTGTGTCGGCGTGCCCTCCAAACTATGGGGACCTCCAGACCTCCATCATATATATGACTAATTACTATTACGGACTATTGGGTTTTGATCATGAATTTAAAACGATAGAAAATTTATAAATTGTGTTTCTTATGGGTCTAAAACAATAATATCAAATATCAAAAAAATTAAGTTTGAAGGATAAAGGAATGAACAATCACGCGAGGGGAATACTTGCTTTCTTATTAGACTTTTTTCAAACCATACAAAAAAACTCATTTATTTTCGTGTGTTTCTTAAATAGAATAAAAGAGTTAAGATTGTTGATCCCTCATGATTAGCATTATTAAATTTGTTGCTTTAACTTTCTTTATTTCAGCTTTACAAAAGGGAAAAAGAATTTAATTTCGTCAATTAATCTGCTTGTACCAAGAAGGCAGTAAAACTAAGTTAATTAAATAATTCGCATTGATTTATCAAGCATAAACCCAGAATAATTAGGTTTAAGCCACCAATTCTAGAAAAGGAAAAAATAAATAAATCAATTATAAATAATTTGTACCATACGTAACTTTAGACTAAAAATTTATTAGTTTCTTCTATCTAATTTTGTTTACTCTATTATTTGTTTATACTATTTGATACTTCTAAATTTATTTTCATTTTCTAATTAATTAATTTCTCATGACTATTCATGTGAGTTTAGTTAATTGATTCATTGTCAATTTAGCTACTACCTATATTCTTTTATTTGAATTTTTTTCATTCAATTTCTCTAACAATCAATTTTTTAATTAAAATTTTCTATTTAAACCATTATCCCTCTTTATTTCAAATAAAATTAAATAGATATTATTCTGAAATAATAGTATGATTTTTATTTATTGATTGATGCTTTATTTATATTATATTAGGTTTTTAGGAAACAAAATTTGAACCACACTTTGTTTACAGAACAGGGCCTCCGAAATCTCACTACCGGCCCTGATTCAAACCTTGTACCTCCAGGTTCAAGACTCAAGACTAGTGATAACACTACTAGACCAAGGCCTTGTTCACGCACAAATTTTCGTTTGTTGCAGAAGGCGAACGACATGTTAGTTTAGGAGGGCTTCAGGTAGAGGTGGCAAATGGATTAGATTCATGAATTGCTGGATTGGATTGGTAGATCCATGGATTAAATGGATTGGTGGATTCATGGATTGGATCAAGTGGATTGGCGGATTATCCCTGAATCCAAATGACATCTTCAATCTTGGACCAATATGTAAAATGTGAAAAGTTTTGGTACTAAAACTTCATAATAAAAAAACTTAGGTAGCAAAACGTAATTTTAAAATGATATTTTTCGTATAAAAAATATATTTTAGATACCAAAATATAAAATATAAAAATTATAGATACTAAACTGTAATTTGCCATTTTGAATCCATGAATCCACCAATCGAGTTGGATTTAGATCAAATGGATTGGATTAGATGAATAATTTGATAAATGAATTGGATTGGATTCATGGATATGGATCCTAATTGTTACCTCTAGCTTCATCGAACTCTTCTCTCTTTCTTATGTACGTATACAGATATCTTCAAGAGATTTAAGGACGATGATGGCGGATTCAAGGCAGAGATAGTGAGAGATGTCAAAGGGTTGTTGGAACTGTATGAAGCTTCATATCTGGGGCTGACAGGGGAGGATATAATGGAGGAGGCCAAGGCTTTTGCTGTTAAGCATCTGACAGAGATTGTCAATAATAACGATGCTAACAACGTTGATGAGTACTCGAGTCTAGTAATGAAGCATAGTTTGGAGCTGCCCTTGCAATGGAGAATGCAGAGAGCCGAGACTAGCTGGTTCATCCAGCTTTGCCAAGATAGGCAGCTGGAACCCGACATCTCACCCCTGCTTGAGCTCGCCAAGTTGGATTTCAACATTGTCCAACGTCTGCACCAAAATGAACTAGAGGAGCTGACAAGGTACCTACGACTGATCTTTCTACCTTATTTGTTATTGTTGGGAAAGCTACATAAATAGTATTTAACCAGTACCTTACATCCAGGATTGAGTTTTTCTTCTTCTTCTTCTTCTTCTTCTTCTTCTTCTTCTTCTTCTTCTTCTTCTTCTTCTTCTTCTGTTGACATTTATGCAGTTGGTGGGAAAACTTGGGACTTATTGAAAACCTGGAATTCGCTAGAGATCCTTTGGTGGAGAGCTTCCTATGGGCTATCGGGATCACCTCTCACCCTGAAATGGGAGAGTGCAGAAAAGCCATGGCCAAGGTTGCAGTTATGGTTCACATCATTGACGACGTCTACGATGTATATGGTTACCTCGACGAGCTTGAGCTGTTCACAACTGCCATTGAGAGGTTCAATTTTTATCACAATCAATTAAGCTTTTTGCTAGACGAGATTTGATTACCATGTTAATTAGCGGACGACACATACTTATGTATGTGACTAACTTTTGTCAGGTGGGACATCAATGAGCTGGATAAGCTTCCTCGTTATCTGCAGCTATGTTTCCTGGCCGTCTACAATACTGGAAACGAGATGTCTTATGCCAACCTAAAGCAACAAGGATTCAACAGCATGCCTCATATACAAAAAGCGGTACTATATAAAATTAGTATTACAACCATTAAATATGGTACTCTCTGTTAAATTACTAATTATTTTCAATGTTGCATGATTAGTGGGCGGATCTCTGTGGTTCATACTTGGAAGAAGCCAGAGCATATCATTATGGGAGCATTCAGAATTTAGAGCAATATTTGACAATTGCCTCCAAATCAGTAGCAAGCAGCATTGTTCTTATTCACGGCTACCTTTTTTCCCCAACTGAGATCCTACAAAATGTCGATTTGGATCTCTTAACGGAAGTCGATTCCAACCTCACACGTTTGACATCAATCATTGTTCGTTTAACCAATGATCTCGCGAGCTCAAAGGTACATACCAATGTATATTTATTGAAGTTTATGCATGAAACAAACAAAAAATAGTCATAGAAGGACATCACATCTTAAACATTTATGAAACAAATTAATCTTAACTGATAGAAAATCGTATGTGAAAGTAACGCAATGTTTGACATTTTTACGTCTGATGTTGTGATGAAACAGGGGGAGTTGGAAAGGGGAGATGTAGTGAAAGCAGTTGAATGTTACATGAGAGAGAGCAGATTATCTGAAGAAGCTGCCCGAGAGCATATAAATTGGAAGATTGGCGAAATGTGGAAAATGGTGAATGAAGATATCTTGTCTTCTCAAGGTTGCTTGAATAATAGTAGTAGTAACCCGATGCTTCCTCCCACGTATGTGAATCTAGCCGTGAATGTTGCTCGAGCTAGTCATTATATGTATAAGCACCAAAACTCGAAAGCACCATTTGTAGTGAAAGATAAAAGCAGAGCAATAACTTTGCTTTTTGATGCACTTTAGTAGTTAATATTATGTTGTAGTTAAGGGAGAGTTGGGACAATAATTGGGTATTTTTTTCCCTTTTAATTTTTTCTTACATCAAATATTTATTATTTTATTATATTATCAAACATGTCCTGTGATTCAAAATTTTGATAACCTTAAGTTAAATGAAAGTTGACTTAATTAAGGAATGAGCAAAATGACTAAGATACGAGTGGGGGTGCTTACACTTTCACTCTTCTTCTCAAAGATCTCTAGCTCTACTGAATAAAGCAAAGAGTCAAGCTCCTCGTTGCATGAAAGGACCGTCATTCTGCCATTCCCATTGAATCTCCTCGTTCCCTTCTGCAAGAACAAGAGCTAATCTCATTTGCATAAAGATAAACGAGTTCACATCCTCATACAATCAATTTCAAACTAGCTACATAGAAGAGAAGAAGAGTACCACCATAGATGATGACAACATATCCTTAGCTAGAGACTCTCCTACGAAAGGTAAGATCTTACTTAGGCAGAGTACATAAGGTTTTGTGTGGTTGTGCAGCCTTAATGAGCTTATGAGTCATGCCCTCTATTTATAGAGGAAGAACTCAGCTAATATTCTCCTAAACCAACTAGAAAGGGCTTCCTAGTCCTTATAGACTACGTAAATTCTTGAGCAAGGATTCTAGAAGTTTCGGCTTGAGCGGCGATAAGACGGTGGCTGGGACCTCTGTTCTTTTTCTTTGGGGGCTGAGCTCATTGGCCCATGGATGACCTCTTCTATTTATTTGGGTGCATCTTGACAAGGTCTCCTCCAGCTGCAGTTGGACTTGCTGTTGGCCCGCCGCTGGTTTCTTCTTCAACTTGGGCAGATACTTCCTCTATTGGGCTTGTCTTAGACTCATATAACGACTTCTACTAGACTTCTCCCTCATTGGATCTCATCTTTATCACGAAGGATCCATATTCTTCTCTTTCTAGCTCCTTTGACCCTCCATAATTCTTCAATGCTTGATCTAAACATCCTTAGGTTGCTTTGTACCTTTAAAACCATTTAAAAAAACATACCAAGAAGGCATCAAAGAGTACAAGAACATGACCTAGGTCTATTAAAAGATCATTGATCAAACAATTGTGATTTAGATAAGAGATACTAAAGATGCTTTGATAGAAGGGAAAAATGTGTCAAGAATGAGAGTTACAAACACTATAAATAAAGTGTCGTAAAAAATACCTTACACTTGAACTTTGTTTGTTCCCAAACAAACACTACTCATAACCATACAACTCGATGAACCATAGGAAGCATCACTCAACCTTGATCTTAGGTTGTGGATCATGAGAATCTTACAAGGTCAACAACAGCACTAGAGAATCTCAACCACATTAACATGCAAGAACATCATACCACATAATCCAAGCATCAACTACTAACCATGCATCATAGTCTCAAATGATAAGGTGGAACTTTTGATAAACATTTTAAGCTTTGAATGATTTATACCATCAAGATAACATTTCTTTAATCACTTTGCCTTATTCAAACTCAAACTATTTTTCTTATGTTTCTCTTCTTTTGCAAACAACTATTTTTCTTTTCTTTTTCTGGGTTTTCTCATGGTGGAGAATTCTTTTTGACCTTTACCCTTCTTGGTCGATCAAGATCTAGAAGCTGCTATAAGTCAATTCATATGGAGGGTCAATGAAATTTAAGGGGTGTCGGAAGTTTTATCTGTGCCCTAAAGAACACATCCTCAAGTTGGCAATCAATTCGATGGGTGGAAATTTTACTTGGTACTAGAGATGAAATATCGCATCCTTCATAGCAACTTCATTATTCTCCTGAGATCGAGTGATGATTACTAGACTCATTGATTCAAAGTAAGATGAAAAGTAATTATGCTTATTGGGGATGACTAAAGTCATTAGATAGAAGAGCATCTTTAGTTCTTTCAAAAACTTGTAAGCATGTATCATAACCATTTTAGTATTGAAAATGTTCAAATTTGAACAACTAATCATATAGCATACCATGGTTAAGCATATCAACCATTCCCACCCCACATTTAGAAAGGGCACTGTCCTCAGTGGACTAAAAAGACAGTGAGTCATGGTAAAGTTGGAATTAATTACCTCGACTGCTGTTCAAAACTCGAAATCATCATCCATAGTAGCTAGTTCTCCATGATTGTTTTGAAGAGACTCGAAATGTCTAAACAAAAGAAAAAATACAAGTGACTTCCTCAAAATTGAAATCCTACATGTCTCATCCTCCTGATGGTGGTCCACTATGCGCGTAGAGGCTATGGAATGATCTGCTAAAATCCTCCATCCATGAACGACTTCACTACAGCTCTACCTCCTGTCTTTGGAGCTGAGCTTGAGTCTTTTCAAGCTTCATCTGCCTCTCATGCTCAAGGGCATCCCAGTGATGCTCATTCAAGATCTGGTAGTTGTTCAAGCTCTCCTCCGTACGTCCCGCAATATCTCTCAACTCTGCCAGCTGGACTCTATAGTCATTATACTTATGTGTTGGTGGTGGTGGGTGTCCAGCTCCAAATCCATGTTAGGTAGTCTCACTATGTGCATCGCTTGTCTCTCTACCATCGTCCATGTATAGTATCATGGAAAGTGTTCCACGCGAGGTCCACTCCCTTGCTTGTTACCTTCTCAACTCCAAAGGTGAACTTTGACTGGAGATAGATAGGTCCTTCCCTCTCCAATGTCTCCTAGAGATAAAATTCATACTCCTCTCTACGCTCATCGATGTACTGGGCTATATTGTAAATATAGCCTCCTCCAGGAAGTTCTCGTGGAGAAGCTACGGATGTGTAGCTCAAAAGGTTTTCGACCACCAACCATGTTGGTTGACACCACCAGTTGTGCAACAAAGCATGATACAAGATCATGTCACTAGTTGTCACCTTTCTAGCATCTCCCTTCTACCTCATGTTCAAACAGGTTT